GGGGGGGACATTTTTGCATGGACAGTACCCTCAGGTACTTCTTACCTCAGGTAAGAAGTAAGTAATTTATAAACTCAGAAAGCAAGTTTTACATGCTTTGACTTGCTTTGCACTTCTAATAGCAGCATTAAAACCAGGAATAGTTGCTCCTAAAAATGCTAAATTCTACAGGTTAAGAACAGCAGTCTTTGGAAGTAGGTTGGCAAAAGATGCAATGATCTCAAAAATGTAGCAAGGGAATTTAAGGATAGCAATCTGACCATCACTTGTCTGTTAAGGCTGTGTGTGTGTATAGGTGGTGGCAGGGTGGAACCTCTCCAGTGCCTCTCTCCATGCTGTTTGGCTGTGAGCAAGTCACTGTGCCTCAGTGCCAGTTCTTCCTTTCTTCAGTTTGTCAGCAGAAGAATGTCATGAAAGGATATGAGAACCTGAGAGAGTGTTCTATTGCTTGCTACGCAGATTGCTGTAGACTTCCTTAAAATAAACTGGGATCAATTTATATAGTAAATGTGTGAGAAACTTTATAATGGTTTCGTAAGTATCTTCCTTTATTTCAATAGTGTTTATATTTCAAGAAGTAGTCAGGAAATAGGTAAGTGTAATACTAAGGCACATAAAGATGTACTTCAATGGTTTTTCCACCTGTAATTTCATTGAACCAATTATTAGGATTTTCTGGTTGAGCAAGAATGGAAAAACGTTGTGGGGTCCAAAGAAAGGCAGTAAAGATGATCAAGGGACTGGAGCACCTTTCCTATGTAGAAAGGCTGGGGGAGTTGGGCTTGTTTAGTTTGGAGAAGATAAGATTCTAGAAAGACCTCACTGTGGACATCCAGTACTTGAGGGAAACCCCCCTCAGAAGGGGGACCAATTTTTTACACAATCTGATTGTGAAAGGATAAGGGAGAATGGCTTTAAAAGAGGGGATATTTAGATTAGATGTTAGGAAGAAGATCTTTACTTAGAGGACATGAGGCACTGGCACAGGCTGCCCGGAAAAGCTGTGGATGCCCCATCCCTGGAGGTCTTATGCCATTCTATGATTCTGTGGGATTGCATTCTTTGAAAGGAGATCAGATTAAGATCTGAGTTTGGTGTGTTGTCAGTAGATAGAGCAGCATTTTGAAGTTCCAGTCCACCTGATGGGGAGAAGCTGCTTTTGAAACTGCTTCCCTTCTGGGCAGACAGATCTTATGGGAGCATACTTTTAGCAGAGCACCATCGCAGAAGCTCCCAGGCTGCCTTCCCGTGGTCCCAGCCGGAGGGGTGATGTAGGGCGGCCCGTGGTGGTCCCACCAGCCACCAGCAAGGGCTTGTTGCTATGGGAACTGCAGCTGAGGGGCTGCAGAGGGAGCAGGAGGACATGGAAAGTGATCCTGTTGTGATGAGCAGGAGTCAATCTGTATCCAATGGCTGCGAGCCTTTTGGTCCTAAGTGGTTCATTTAAATAAATTCATGGTTTCCAATTAATTTGTAAAATAAAATATTACTGAGGGACTGTTAATTTCTGTGATATTTCAGGCAAAGAACCAAAATGTTGGTGCAGTTTTCATCAGAATTTTAGCTATGCTTGACTAGGAAGTCATTACATCACATTTATCTGTTTGGATGGGGGAGACATTAACAGCCTTATGAATATTCATGTTGTCTGGTTAATTAAGTTAATTGTACTGCAGAAGTGCTTGCACTTCCAAGGACAATTTTTTCCCTACAGTTTCTGTTTGGTACCTCCATCAGTCATTTTTTACGTGACCTGCAGATACTTAATCCTTACCATGATGCTTTTGTGCATTTTGTAGGATGAAGGTTGTAGGAAGTTGTTGGATTATGGTTCTGGAATAATAAAATCTATTTTGGTTTCTGTTAAAAAAAAAAAAACGTGTCTGACAAAGATGCTGGAGTTGTATGGTCGAAACCTTTTATGCTGATTTACAGTAAACTGAGCAGTTGGAGTGAGACCTAAAAATGTGTCTGCTGTAATCTTTGGGGAGAACAAGCCCATAGGTGAGCATCAAAAGAGGTTATTAGTCTCTGCAGTGTAGTACAGTAGTGCTCACGGGAACCATCTTGTTGATGGTAAGTAATATTCCCAACTTACATACAGTTAAAAAAAGGGTTAAGGGTGACTTGAAAAGATGAATCATGGCATTAAAGCCACTATTATTGAATCACCATTTAAGTCAGCAAAGTTTTCATCCTAACATTTTTATTTGTATGATAACTTTGATTGTTTTATCTCTGTTGGTGCAAGCTTTCTTTGCATCATCCTCTTTTACAGGACCTAGATAAAGGGATGCTTAATTCAGTCATTGTTAGGGTCAAAATGCTGCTAGGTGTGTATTAAGAATGTCTTCTGGAAAAGGTGGTGACGTTTCCTACTGTATAACTATGCATATTCTGGATCTGCAGCTCATGGAAGGGGTTGCTTGCATGCAGTACTTATGTTTTTGAACACAGGCAGAGCTTACTTTCTCAGTAGCTGGGAGAGGGCGGGGTTTTGTCTTGTTTACTTCTGCAGATTTTAATGAGTTTCACAGATTTAAGACAAGGATGCAATTATTTGTGCTATCCTGTTTAGTAGGAATAAGATTTAATTTTCATTAAAGTCAGCATGAAAATTGTATTGATTTCAGCCCTGGCCATTTGTTATCTTGTTGCCATCTGTACTGATGAATCACTCTTCCTTAAATGAAGAATTCCAGTATAAGAGGTACCAAGCCCAATCTTCTGAAGTTTTTTCCACCCTGTGCTCTTCTGTTAGCTTGATCTTCAATGACATAGAAAAACAATATTTATCAGAATAACTTTGCATTATTTGTAAAGATCTGCTGCTTATGGGTGATTTCCTTTGTTTTTATCCCAATTACAAAGCACATTCTTTTTTTTTTTTTTTCTTTCTCCTGAAAAAGAGATTCCCATTAAAGTCACTTAGAGTTTCAAAAACATGATCCATGGAGATATCTCTGAATGCTTTGACCTCCTACTTGTGTTTCTCTGACTAAACAAAAATAGTTGAATCTAGAGTCTAAATGTCAGAAATCAATCAAACATGAAATGCTGTAAGCACAGACTTGTACTGTTCTCTGAAGAGTAACTTTTTAGGTCAAACTTCTTTTTTTTTTTTTTTTTTTTTTTTATCCCAAAGTTTTCTGCATGGAAATATAGTTTATGTTCAATGAAGTGATAAATGTTTCTGATTTGAATATTAAATGGCATCTCGAGCTACAATTTTGCATTTGCTTTTGTACAGAAAGGAAAGTTCAAATAGCTTTTCATTGAGTTGTTGGTTATAAATTGTTGGAGATAAATTGCTGACATTGTAGTATACATAATGAAATATGTTAGTATTTTCATATTTTCATTATGTAGTATACATAATGAAATACATTTCTGTTACTGTATGTAGAGAAAAAATCTTTGGGGAAAAAAATAAAGTTAAGATTGAAATTGTTGGTTTCTTCTCTCAAAGTGCTTCATAATCCCAATTTGCTGGGCATATTTAAATATATTTTTTAGGAAAAGGAGGAATAAACTGGTATTATAGTCACTTCTAAACTCTGAGAAATATATGAATTAAATTTCATTTCTGTTTGAATTGTTCAAAGAATAAAACTGCACATAACCAGATTTCTTCCACTGTGACTGAGAATGTAAACTTCAAAAAATATTGTGTCTGTTATGTTGATATATGTACCTCCCTTACTTCCTTCACATAACAGGAGCCCTGAGGCCTGTACTCAGAGCTTCTCTCTCTGACATTGTGAAGGCTTTCCATGAGGCTCTGAGCACCCTGGTTGCTTCCAGAGACTGAGGTGACCTAAGGAGGTGACAGGTCCTCTGTGAGATACTGTGATAAAATTCACTTGGTTTCCTTGTTTCCTTGTTTCCTTTTTTCCTTAACGTTCTTATTTAGAGGAATTATTGGGGGGAAAGAAAAAAGCAAAGCATGTACTACTGAATGAGAATGACGAGATGCCTTTAGAGCTATGCAACTATGTACATCAATCTTTCCATATTTAGTATGATTTCTACCACTAAAGTGACATCAAAGACTGCAAAATTTTGAGATGAACATAATTTTTCAGTCTGGTATATGATGCTTTTAAAGTGCTTATTGAGATATTGAGTGCTTCTTATTTGAAATATGATGATCTCTTCCCTTTCCTCGCTTCTCTCCCCCCACTGTTGACAGAGAAATTTAAATGCATCCATAAAATTGAAGGCAAATTTATCAACCAGAGTTGTCTATTGCTGCAGTAGCATATTAAATAATTCAAGCAACAAGAAAATGATTTGAAAATTTGAGTAAGTGAACTTATTCCTTTATGGAATGTTAGGTTCTAAATCGTTCATTTACAGTTTTTGTAATTTGAATTAATCTGTTCTTGAATTACTCATGCCTTACTCAGTGCTATAAAGAAGCTCAATATTCTCTCTGCGTGGCCATGGTGTTCTAATTGTGCAAAATGGATCCTGTGGCCCTGCTACTTGGCTAAGAAAAGCTGTTTTTCAGTCATTGATGTTCTCCTTATACATAAAATTGACGTGCTGTAATCAACAATATCTGCTGTTACTTTTCAGATACAGTCTGCAAGGGAAAAAGCAGCATTCTGACTAGATATTATAGAATTTTGCCTGGGAAACTTGATGTTTTCAATGGCCTGACATTGTATTGTTTTTCCAACTTAAAAACAAACAAATAAACAAAACAAAAGAGCATTCCCCAGATGTATTCTACTTGATAATCTGCCTGCTAGTACATTTTCCCAGTATTGGACTTATGTATAAAGGAAAATATTTGTAAGGGAGATAGGTTAATAGCAGCAACAAGATAGGCAATATTTGCTTTTGGATTTTATGACACATATCAATGAGAGGATTTTGTAGATCTCTGGAATTTTGTATGCTTATAATTTGTGCTACTTAACATTTTGCTTTTACCGAGACTGAATAATTTGTGTAGGGGGCTTTGAAAATGTATTAACCATCTCAACTTCCTTTTCTGAAAATTTTATATACATGCATAAATATATACTTCTTACTGTTCTCTATCTTATTTATGGTAGTTTGTGTTTACTTTTGCAGGTACTACAAATATTTTGGCCTACACTCTCTATGGCATCAAACATGCGGTGACTGCAACGCTGCACATTGTAATGGGTAAATATTTATAGACACGGTGTCTGTTTTTAAGTAGTGAAGCAGCATTTAGGGATTTGCCATAGCCAATTGTTCAATAAACACCTAGTGTCATGCTATAGCACTGTAAACTATATTGTAAGACTTTTATGTCCAAATGATTCTGTCCTGATTTATAGAGTATGGGAATGTTCTTTGCACGTAGCTTAATAATAAAGGTAATTATAACAATTTGTAACAATTCTGGCATTCATTTCCTCTTGCTGATGTTCTTTATTGCAAAGAGTAACCTTTTCTGGACTACGTAGTGTGAACTGTGTTACTCTGTGTATTAAGCACTGGTTGAACATTCCTTAAAAAACAAAACAAAACAAAACAAGACAAAACACAAACAAGTTTCCACAAGAAAGCTTTATTTGTAGAAGAACTGCATTACTTGCCATTCAGTCTGATCTGCACAACAAATGGGTTTTTGTGTGTGAAAATCTGATTATGCTAAGAGGAACAACTAGCTTGCCTATGCAAGCCATGTTTCCAGGACTTAGGAAGTAGCAAATGCTTAACTGAACAAGGTCAATGTTTCTCTTAAAGTAAGTATTTTTTTAGGATACATTATATATAAAAATATATATATAATTTTTCAAAAAGAGAATAATGGATAAGGAAGCTTCATCCTGAACGTGTTTTCTAGACCTTACAGTCAGCAGTGGAAGATTTCTTTTCCTGGATAGGAAAGCTTACAGATTAGACACAAAATCTGAAACTGTCTTTTTAAACCAGAGACTGTGAACATAATGGAAACAGCAGATTCATTCATAGAAAAAAAATATATACCCTATTTTGAACAAAATTAGATGTCTTAGTTCTGTAACTGTAAAAACATCTGTGACCATTTCACCAATTGCTTGTAATGATGCAACATTGCACTGGAGAAGTTCAGGAACTCTTAAATATAGTACATAAATGTATTTATGTAGCAACTGTACATTTTCTTTGTATGATAATTGAAAATCTATGTACTATGTACTGCCTGATGGATTGGATGGATTTTTGCCATAAAAATTTTGACATTTTGAAGCTTCCTGAACATTATTCTCTGAAGTGAGTACTTTTACAGTCTTGATTATACCTGAATTGATTCCAGTTTTCATTAGTAAAACTAGACTTCCTAAGGAGAAAATATTCTGCAGATCATTCTCTCAGTTAAATCAGGTGAAAACGAAATAGTAAGTTATATCTGGTTTGATGTTGTTTGTAATTTCTGATCTTTGTCTTTGATTTTTTAGGTCATATTCAACCAGTAGATGCCTGTACTTTCAGTACTCCCAGCAGGCTTCTGCGTTTTGGGTTCTCGGCTATGTTTGGTTTTGGTGCAAGGACTCTAGCTTTGGCTGAAAAGCACCGTTGGATGCCCTCCAATCAGCGAAAGGATTTTGCTTTCATCAAAACACTGGCAGATCTCAAGTATGCCATAAGTTGTTACATTTTTCTACTATTTCTCATTTTCTTGAGGAATATGCAATAATGGATGTGGTAAAATATAGACGAGAGTAGTTTAGCTGTCTTGACTTATCATCTGTTGGTTGCTAAATTTGTTATATTCAGCATCTCCTTAAAATCATTTTAATTTGAATAAAAGTTTGTCTAGCAGTCAGAAAATTGGATTACAGTAAATATTACTCTAAATATAAATACTTTTCCAGGACAGAGAAATGTGAATTATCATTTCTACCTCTACAAATTCCACAGGAAGACTCTTATGAGAATGACAGGTAAGTAAAACCATGTCAAACAATCCCAAATGTAAAAAAAGACATATTGTTGAAGAGAAAATTGTGCAAATTCTGCATTTTGTTCAAATTCAAATTTAATCATCAGGTAAAATAAAATCTTAAAAGGAAAAAGATTTATTTTGACAACGGTGAACTTGCACAGTTTGTAAGATAGTCCCTCTCTGTCTCTGAGACTACAGAGGTTTTATTACATGGCAGACTTTCTCTTAATATTCCTGTGTTGTTCAATTCCATTATTTCTGTCCTCCAGTGAAACATTGTTTTTTTCCTAAAGAAATATTATTTATATGTGCTAAATTTATTTTTAATTATTTTCCCTACGTGTTTTTTCACCTTCTAGAAAGAAGAAAGGGAAAAACAAAAAAAAAGGTAAGCCTTAGCTTTTATAATTATTTACAAATGAACTGTGAGTGGTTAAACTGGAGTAATATGAATTACTCTGTTATATTTAGGTAACAAGGATCAATGGCACAAAATTCAGGGTGACTTCCTGAACGTGAGCATTATGGCAATCCCTTGTCTGTGTTCAATGGCACCAAGAGGCTTGGCACCTAATACGAGGTCAGTGGAGGTTTAAAGAATTAGTCACATCTATAAATTCTGACATCTTACCTTAAGACCTCGGCTTTTCCAAGAATACAAGGCTGTGTTTAGGTAGTCTAGACTATGGAGCAGGGGAGGGATGTGGACTGCAGCAGACTTGATAATCCCAGGAATTGTAATCAGTTTTAGGATCAAGCAAATAAGGTCAAGTAGTCTAACTAGAATAATGAGTAGATAATTGCTGTGATTAAATTAGTTGGCAAGTCCAGCTTAAGTAGAGTAGTAGTCATCGAGTTGTCTGTTATAGGTTCTGGCTATATGTAGAAACTTCATTCTCAGATTTTAGTTTACTTTTTCAAGTGTAAAGGTGCCATTTGTCTTCTGCTTTACAGTCAGGAGCAATGAAGTATGAGTCCTTCTGTCAAGAACTGAAATTCATACTTGTATTTTGCCTTTTTTTTTTTTTTGCCAAATGTAGGAAATGCAGTTTTATATTTAGGGCTTTTGAAAACAAATGTGCATGTAGTCTGGTTGTTGACACTTATTCAGTTTGCACTGGCTCATTGTTGGCAGGATATTTTGTGGTGCTCAAACAGCAATCAGGTGATAAATCTTTGTAGCTGATGTATTCAGTTAACAATTAAACAGAATAATAGCAAGCAGGAACTTCACAGTTGTATATGAAATTCAACACACTCTCTCAAATAAGAATTCATAAACTTTTCTTATACATTATATATTACTACTTATACATTACTACTCATAAAAATTATGGAATGAGTCTGTTTTGTTTGATTATCTTTAGTGAAAATGAATATGCCTTAAGACTTGTTAGATATTTATCTTCCTATCTCCTGATCTGGTAGGATTTGCCTTATTGAAAATGATTTAAAAATAACTGTGTTTAATAAAGATATTGTGGAGAATTCTTCTTAGTTCGGGGAGTCCTGCCGAGGTGCATATTCTTTAAGTGCTGTGCTGCTTTCCCCTCCTAGGAAAACTTAGGAAAACTATCTCTATTCAGCATTTACTGTTATATTCCAGTCAGCAGAAACCTTCTGACAAGAACTGAATAGTCTTTTTTAGCTTTGCTTTCTCTTTCCATCTGTTATGACACCTGCTCTTCAGTGATACAGAATTTTAAGACAATTCCATGCAATTATTACAGGTTTGAATGAGCCTGTTTCTCCTTCAGCAGACTTGCTTAGTGGATCCCCCTATTTTGTATATCATTTTTGTTCTTTCTTGAATATTATCATAGGAATTAAATTATCTGGCAGGGTGGGAAGTGTAAATGTTTCAGACAGTTGTTCCATTTCTCATAGTCAATAATATCTTGACTGTAAAGCTTTTCAACATGTGAAACAAATGTTGCACTGTTTGCTTGAGATGCAAGATCCATTATGGTAGTGTCAGCTAAGTACATCTAGATTTCTTCACTCTGATCTGTTTTTTCTCATGAGATTTTCTTTTTTTTTTTTTTTCTATGTGAAGACATTTGAAAACGAATGAATGCTTTGACTATTGCAACTCTTTCTATACTAGCCTAAATCTGCAGCATGTCATGCTTCACTGCAGATTGGACTTTCGAAAGAATTAAAGAGAATTCTTAATCATCTCAAAAGATGAAATGCTGTAATGTAAAATGCATTCTCCAGTAACCTGCTATGTCTTTTCTAGTAAAAGCATGATAAGGAGGCAACTGTTTCAATTTTACTAAAAAAAATTTGTTTTCTAAATCAGTAAAATAATGCTATGCCATCTGACTTGTTCAATGGCTGTATTAAAGTTATCTTTCTAGGTAGTGCTTTATTATAGTCTGAGAGTGTTCCAATTATAGTTGTTAAACAGCCAGGACGCTCTGAGTGGGGAGATATGTGGTGGTGGGCTGGAAAGTATTGTTTTGAAATGACCTTAACCTATTTCTTAATTGCTCCTACTGAATGAATAAATGTATCTTCTGAATATATAAAATACAATCTCAGCAGTGATTGGCATTTTTACCAGATACACTTTTTGAAAGTTGGTTTCTCTCCATAACTTGAATGAGACTTAGGAATGGTTGTATTGAGATTCAGGCAGCTAGTTTCTGTGGCAGAATACAGTTGCATTAAGGAGCCTGTGAAGTAGTACTAGCTCATTGTCTGACCCAAATTTAGAAGTGCTAAATATCACCGCAAGTAGGTACCTAGCACCAATGAGTATCTGCACTGTAGGATCTCTTCATGGTTAACCTCTAGTGTACACTTTTGTACAAGGTTCCCTTCAGTTTTTAAGTTATTCATTCTACGTAAAACATGTTGAGTGTAGAACACTGCTGAGAATTTCTAAGAGGGTTTGAATAGCAGCATGGCTAAGATTAGGATGTTCATTAAGGCAGCTGAAGTGTGAATGGTGGAGCTGCATGAGTCTAACTGCACTACGTGGTTTGTACTTCACATGTCACGGGAGCAGTTAATCACAACATTTCTGGTAACCATCATACTTTGTTGGAGAGAAATGTAAAAACAAATTTGTGATGTTTAAGAATTCTGCTGTTAGGTAGGAAAGCATTTTTATTTAAATATGCATAGCATTTAATAAATTATAGCTATTGATAAAGAAGTAAAATTTCTTCCATGTATGTCATAGGTACAGAGATGCTGAATAACTTTGACTGCATCATTTTAATTGATCTATAAAGATGTGGGGTTTTTATTTTGTTTTGTTTAAAGGTATATATTTAAATTATAACTATTTTATTAATGTGCACCTATAAACCCGATAAACTTCCAATAATGTGTTTACTTTGGGGAACTAAATCTGTCTGCTTTTCAGGTTAAATAATGGAAGCATGGCTCTGATTGTTGTACGGAATACCTCCCGAACTGAGTTTATAAAACACCTGAAAAGATATGCCAGTGTAAAAAATCAGGTACAGTTAATTTCATTCCGGTGATTATAAAAAGAACAGTAAATCGTGAAGGTAGACATGCTGGAAGAGTTAATGTTAGCATCCTCATAAGGAGACTTAGCTTCCTGTCAGAATACATTAGCCCCCTTTTTATCTGATTTTTTTTTTTCTTAAATCACTAGACTAATACCGATTAGCCTATTTCAGCCCATCTGTTGTGGTTTAAATTGTATTTTTGATGTACCATCGATTTATGGGAATAAAGCCTTTCCAGCACAATAGAGAAAATGCATGCTGTATTTAAATCTTGTGTAAAAGATCAAGACGTGGGGACATCATGCACCTCTGTAAGAAATTGGTGAAGTCCATAATGTCTGCAGATTGCTGAGCCTTACACTGACAGCATCAGATTATCACCATTGAGTTTAGCAGATATATATTCCATCTATTTAAGAATATTTATAGAAGTGTACATAAAAACTGTGATCATATTCTTTAAAAAAAAAAAAAAAAAAGAAGCATCTAAACATAAATGTCATCCTAAATACGTAGGATGTAATGTATGTATGTAATCTAAACATCATGGTAGTCATTCAAACATTCCAGGGTTATGTGAACTTGCTTTACAGGTAGGTCCAGGCTTGGATTAGATAACCATTGAGCACTCAGAGTTTGTCACAGAGGTGGTGGCAGTACCGTGTGACAGCACTAACATTTAGGATGCTTTTAGGAAACAGTCTGTATTTTCCAATTATGTCATAGTTACGCTCTTGGAGGAAGAAGGCTTTGCCTTTCTCTGTCTTTATAGTTAAAAATTGCACTTAGATGTCAGAGCCTCACTTGAGACTTGAGGACAGGATCACTGGCAGTGATGAAGAAATGATAGGAAAAAAAATTCCATGGACTTTAATGTATTCAGAGAGCATATGCCACCTCATCTGTAAATTGAGCAAGTCTGATATAGGAATGCAAGTGGAATAATACTTTTTCTTTTTTCATTTTTTTCCCTGAGGCACTATTTAGGATAAAAAATAGAAGGTTTTCTATTCTATTTCTATAAATGCTAGTTGGAATATACAATGCCTCATGTGTTCACATATAGAGTTAAGGGTTCTCATACAATTAAGAAGCAAAAACATCCGCAAGCTTTTTAATTTCATGTAATCCAGTTTGTTGCAAAGTATCACCTATAGTTTTCATCTTTGTTTAACATATGCCTGTGTTTGATTTAGTTCAGTTTTCCCTTTGTTGAAACATACACAGTTCAAGAAGTAAAAGTGCAACCAAGAAACAAAAGTGGGCTTGATGCCAAAGAAAATACAGATACAAATGCCACTGCTGAAGAAGATAATTACCCTTGGAATATAGATGGGGACTTAATAGAAGCATCAGAAGTTCATGTTCGGTAAGGCTGAGTATTATGTTTATGGACAATATCCTTGTAGTAGACTAGTACTGCAATCTTAAATGTATATATACAAATACACGAAAAGCAAGTGTAAATACTTCAAAAATAATATTTTTGTATCCTGCTGTGCAGGGTCTCTGCCACGTTGCCTTGTGCACATCTCTGGAAAGGTTTATGGCCCCCATGGCCTTCCAGCTCCTTTTCTGCCTTTTCAGCCCATTTTACTTTACCCTTCTGTTTGTTAGAAGAGAACAGGTGAATGTAAAGTTCAGTGAGTCTGGGAGGACTTATTTGGGTATGCTTGGAAAGCCTTGTTTGTAACCTTAATAAAAACATAGCTGTTCAATTGTGGGAAACTTGGTAGTGCTTGAGAATAGTGTCCATATGTAGGATCGAAGACATTAATTAATACACAGAAATTGGAGGATTAGCAGTAAAAATAAATGTGAGTTGCTTGTTTTTTTCTGCAGTGTGCACAGGGTCAGAGTAACATAGTCTGAGCTATAGAAGACTGATTTCATTGTAGGATGACTGCGAAAATAATATGCTTGTAGAGATGACCTTATAGGAGATGTCACAATGTAATTCTTATTATTTTATTCCATATAACACTTTATGTATATTTGTTTAAAAAAAAAAAAAAAAAGACGCATTGCAGTATCAATTCATGGAATTGATAGTTTGACTTCCTCACTTTACAGGGTGCATCCTCAACTTATTAATCTCTATGGAGTGAACACTGATGATCTGGAGAGTTCCAAAGCAACATGCAATTGCATATAGAAGGGATACACTGAATGTTCTGTATGAGTCCTTGTCACACCTGTATGCTCTTCTTTCTAACGTCCCATTCTTGCACTTACTGAACTCAGTTCTAATAGAAAGGATGTTTATTATGTTTCTGGTTTAAAATTTTTATCAAGTTATATATATTTTATTAAGTTATATTTGACTGTGAAAAATCTTTATTAGGCTTAGCAAGAAAAAATGAAAAAATGATTATATGGATTTCTTTAATAAATTTTGGGTTCTGAAATGATCTGTCAGAATAGATGGAAAGTCTTTTGTTTTCTGTAAAATTATTCAAGCTTCTGCAGTATATATTTAATATGAAGTATTTTTGAGTTTGCTGTTGTTACCATGTTGTCGGGTTACTCAGTTCAAACTAGTGAGTGGAGATAAGATGGTCCTCACACTGAAGGATAGTGGCAAAGCGTTGATCAGGTATTTCCAGTGCTGGGTATCACTTACAATGTTGCCTTAATGTTTGTGTTCAAATTGGTTTCTAGTCAAACAGTAATAAAGAAGAACGTGTAATTTCTTTGATGAAAGGTATTTTAAAGACTACTCATAGTACAAAATAAAAAAAATTAAAATATATAATGTATTGTAGAGCTGACAGAACATTAAGCCTAGGTTTTGCTGTTGCTGAGAATAAAGTTGTGATAACTAACCTTTACTCATTGACTCAAATTTTGGTAACTATCTTAAAGGGCATAAATATTTTTATAAGTAAATGTTCATTTTTTTTTAGGTGACTTCTGAAATATTTTCTACAATTATTTCAGATGAATGCAAATTAAGAGCAGATTCTCAAAGGAGGAGCCAGTTTCCAGAAAGATGATGAAAAGTAGCAGCCTGGTGGGTTTGTCTGCAGTGCCACAGGGCTAAGCATGTGGTTCTGTTCACTTGTCTATCAATTGTTATGAAAAAGGCAGGTGCACAGTGGTGTGAAAGCAGCGTTGTTTCATGGCTGGCACAGGTTGCTCCAAGTCTTTGTTCTGTAAGCAGTTCAGTATACTGTGAAATCCAATCGTTTAAGATTTCATTAAATCCCTTTACGTGGGATCTGCATTTTCAAGACTTACATGAGCTGCATATTTCACTCCATTTTAAATCTTGTGAAAAATTCTTACTGTTGGTAAATAAGCTACACAAGTATTGCAGATGGCTACCTGTGTTCTCAGAACAAGCTGTTACTTGTTGGAAACCTCATGCAGTTTCTGTGGACAAATGTGGCCAGTAGTAAAAGCCAAATTCATAGATAATATAATGCCTCTTTCAGAGGTAATTATTATAGAACCACTGCAGCTACAGTTTTGCTTGGCACTGGGGCGGTGATGGCAGAGCAGGGTCATAGCATCTTCAGACCGAATGGAGCACTGACAGGGCTCTTGCCCAATCTCCTGGTCCAAGTGGTCCAGCTACAAGGTCAACCCTGGTTTCTCAGGACTTTATTTAAACTGATCTCAAGCCATCCAAGGAAGGAGATGATGCCACCTCTCTGAGCTCCACTTCTGGGCTATCTTCATGGGGAAAAGGATTTTCCTGCTGTCCACTGGGATCCTCTCATTTCAGCTGAGAGTCATAGTGAGTAGTCTATTACGTTGCTGTACTTGATACTGTATTGCACCAAGTATTTTAATGTTTATGACAATCTAAACTAAGCTTCCTAAAGGTGTATGAGAAGAATATTCCAGCTACATGTAGTAGAATTAACTGTTTTTATTACATAAGTGAAAATTAACAAAAGAACTTACAAAAGAAACAGCATTCATGCTTAACTTGTTGGAGTTCTCTTTAGTAAAGTAAAACCAAGTGATGCTTTATAATTTCGCCACCATTAAGACAGTGTACACTTATTTTTGTCAACCTTGTTTCTAACAACAAATTGACTTTTGCTTCATATCTTAAGAACAGGAAACCAACATTTACATGTTAATTACAAAATATGAATAGAAAGCATTCCAAGGCAACATTATCACATTTACTGACTTATGTAAACTAATTCAAAGATAAATAAAATGCTTTAGTTTCATTTCTTTGCATTGTTTGTACTAAAAAGAATTTTAATGCTTTTTCCAGCATTTGAGGTATATTTATATGCTGTAATCTCAAACAAATTTCTGTTCAAAGTCATTTTGGTTAAAGTGCAAAAAATCACTAAAGCCATTTGGAAGATGAACATTTTGTATGTTTCATAGACTTGCAAGAAAGTATTTCATTCTTCACATTCTTCACACGCTTTTTGATATACATATCTCTATATAAAAATACATACACATTCATTAGTCCTTACGCTGCCTACGATTTTTGAGATAAGTTACTTTAGAGGGATCCACAACTTTGGCATCAAATTAAGCAAACAGAAATTACAGAATGGTCCCCAATGCCTTACTGATCTGTGGTCAATGTGGATTTTCTGGCACCAAATACAACCCATTTGCAAAAGTGTTTGCTGAAGGCACTATGCATTGTTTTTGAACTAAATGTCATATGATGGTGTGGCTCCAAAGTGTACGTATGTGTTAAACTTGTTTTTCCTTACAGTTCAGAAAGACATCAAAGTCAGAGCAAGAATGGCCTTATTACATACTGCTGTTACAATAAATATAGTTACTGATGACATTGTAGATTCTCTGGTTGTACTGGGGAGCAGTCATGATTTTTTTTTTCTCCTAGACTGTACTATTTATTTCACCAAAGCTAGGTGGCAGTGCAAACTTATCTAGCTGAAGAAACTTCCTGTAGTAGCAGATCAGTGGTTTAAACCATGTTTCTATTCAGTCATTTGCCTTTCTACTCAGTTGTTTCTGAAGATGCCAATTTAGATGATTATTAACTAACAACTTCACAAGAACCCACATTAGCTCTCCAAATGGCTTCTTACATACATTCAGGTGGACAATCTAAAGATGAAATTTGGCCCAGTACAGTTGGCTTTTGGTGCGGTGGGGTACATTTGTTTCTCTGTTTTCTCATCATGTGAAGTCTGTCTTTTTCAGATACTGGAAGAATAATAGTACTAAAGACTACTATGCTAAGTATTATTTAAAAAAATCTTCAAATAAATAAAAATAAATATTTTACTTAAAAAAAACCCTCACATAAAAATATTTTGCTGCAGAAGTCCAAAACATCATGGCACTGGTATTTGAGGAAAGGACAAAACAACTAATTCTGTCATTTTTGCAAGTACCATGTTACAGATGGCTACAACTTATGATCTCCTATACATTACTCTTTCTACAGCTGACAGAGGATTCTGTGCTATGTGTTCAGGCTACCACACAGAATTCCCTGTTGTAAATCTACCTTTGGCTTTCCTGGCTCTGACTTGCCTGACTAAGCATCTCCAATACTGTAGAGCTGTGTCTATGAAGCCAAAGCTTTTTGAGGTTTCCTTTGGAAGCCCAAGAGAGCTTCTGATAGCTGTTTTCTACATCTGTGCACTCTAGTTATGGTCCTTATGTTGGTTTAAGCTAATGTACCCTTGTAAAACTGCCAAACCAGGATGAGGGAGGATTTCTTCTTGAATGTCTAATCAAAAGATTGCTGAAACTTGAAAATGCATAAAATAACTCATGCTAATGTTTGAGATCTTATTTTCCAGGATTGGTCACACTTTACATTCTCAGACATCTTCATTCCAGTAAGTAATTATTATTCTCTTTATCTTTAGTGTTCTGCTGTCTTTTTGAAACCAGAGATGGTATTTCAAATATCACTGTAAGACTTAAAAACAGAAATAGTTTTACCATTTTCACATTAGAAGAATAACTGAACATTAAGATGTAGTTGTCAATACAGATCTAGGAAATACAGGGTTGTTTTGTAAGGGCAAATGAGCTCACGACCACTTTTTGTTTCACTGGTGTTTCTCCTGTGAATTAACCCGAACCTTAAATTCTTCATTTCAAAACAAGTTTTATTTGTCCTCTTAGTCATCTTTGTTGCCACTTGTAAAACTCCAGCTGTCTCTCCTATTCATGTCCTGAGGGACTGGTTTGTATTGCCTTTTGAAGAAGCCAATCTGAAATACACCAACAGATTCCAAAATTACGTATGTCATCAAATCTAAGCAGTGTAACTAAAATAAAATATCTATCTATAGTGCTTATGAACAGACTGTATTTGTCATTGTTTTGTCATACTAATTAATCAACTGGTAGTCATCGATTAAAAGAAGGAGCTGCTTTTTAATGCTCTCCTGACGTAAGGAGTAAGAACAAGCAGACTCAACTGTCCAAAAATTCAGTGTTTTTAAAAATCATGAAATGGTAATAAGACATTCCAGTTCAATCTATTTCATTTGTACACTTCCCGGGAAAAAATGATAGAGAAAGTCTGCATGCAGGTAGAGGTAACTAACGATATCTTAACTTGCATGGTAGTGCAGCTTTTCTTTCATTGTTTTCTTAGTTCATTGTGCACAGGATATTTTAGCATGTATGCAGTAGTTTAAATCATTTTATTCTGACAAGAAACTATCTTGTAGATAATTACTGATCATGTGTCAAGTGGTGTTAAATGCGGAGCACCACTCCACAAAAACAATTCAATTTATATGAAATTACATAAATCATTAGATGGCACAAAAAACTTGGGAAGGGGTTTATAGTATTAAATAATGCAAAATGTAGAATATGTATAGATATTAGATTTATCTATATAGATATAGATAAAGTAAAGGAAAATAGATAAGTATTTTTGAAAACACACTATATTAGGAGTTTCTTTAGAAAGGACAGATAATAAATTATTATTTTATCCGTTAAGCTGGATTAGTGAATGCAAAGATCCTCCAAGTGTGAATTCCTAATTTGAGAATAGTGGAGAAATAGTGAAAACCTACCTTCCACAATAGAAGTGAAAGAAGCAAAAACAAGGTAATACCAGCTATTAAGCCTATTCCAATAATTAATACAGTGACATGGTATTTTGGTTTTTGGTGGTGCACTCCTTCCAAATAGACCTGAAAGGCGGAAAATAAGTTTAATGGTTTTTTTTTTCCTAAAAGATGCTAATAACTGGGAAAGTGAATTACATTCTTAAATAATGAACACTGTCTTCAGTGTTTGTGCATAAATCTGTATAGAATGCTTTTTCTTTCCTAGTTTAACTATTTTAAATAAATTCAGTAAGAGAATTCTTACATATGCAACTTGCTTGTCCTTCTGTAGTTCAATAACTTTTGCATTCTTTTCTGGTGAGGCTGTCGCTCTTACTTCAAACTTCAACGTAGATGCATCATCCTGATTTTAAACAGCAACATAAAATCCCATATATATATATGTTTTTTTTTTTTTAATTCAACATGTTAATTCTTAACCAACAAAAATGGTAACACAGCTGCTCACAAAAACAGAATCTCACACAAACACACATGGCGTTTTTATGCCTTTTTTTAATCACAAAATAAATTAGTACCAGAACCTGGAGTGAAGCCTGGTTGGGTTCTACTCAACACTAAATCCATGCTGTTTTTCTTAGAAAAGCACAATTACAAGTTAGAATTAAATTTCACATAACCCAGCCAGAATAGACAAAGTAATATATACTAAAAATTAAAGTGATAAAGATGTGTTTTAGATTAAGTGGTTTGCATTTTTATATATCACCTTCAAACCTAGAACTGAAAACAGAATATGTAGTATCTACTGTTGTTAGGTTCTAATATTAATATCTAGAAATTAGATGGGGAGAATAATACAAGTAAACCTTGAAATATGCCTCTCAAGTATGAAAAATTCATGTGTTACCATTTCTAAAAGCGAAGGAGTAGCTTCCAGGTGCAACTGAATGGTTGCTTCTTTTCCATTTTCCATGTTTCCAAGCTTGCAATGTATTTGTAAGCAAAGGCTGTCATTTTTCATACAGTACTGTAGAGCAGAGGGAAAGATTAAAGCTTGAGTTTATCAGCTGTATATCCTTAATGTTAGAAACACTCAGGAATGAGTAAAACAAAAGCTCCATGTTTGTTCTTGAAAGGTTAGGGGTTGTAGCTTTCAGCTGACACCTCTCATTCTCAATCCATGAATTGTTCATCATTGGTGATAAAGGAACAGTACAAGGCAGCAACCTAATTGTTATAGAACGCAACAGGTCATTTTTCTTAAAAGATTGTTCTTTTTAGAGAAAAATGACAATTGTAATGAGTTGGTTGTACGGATGTCTTTACAGTTATTTCAGAAATGAAATATGGCAATGGCTTTATGATACTTGGCATCAGAAATATAAAACTATTTACATATAGTTTGCACTATTTCCCTCAATTCTGAAGAAGAAAGAAAAGCAAGCCTTTACATAATTATATTCTTTGTCCAAGACCTCAGTGCCTAAGTCTCATTTGAAAGAAATACTTTTGATACTTCAGTGCAGGGTTACTCTTGAGAAGTCTTTGATATTCCTGTAATTTGCTTGCTTAAAACCTCACATTAAAATATTTAAATAGGTCAAGTTTCTTTTAAGATGAGAGTATTAAAGCTGTACTTTATTATCAAGTTCTAGAACACTGAGATTTCAATGGGAACAAACCCTTGAAAATGTAACACTAGAACATTCATTCTGGGTTGGGCTACACAATCAAGTATCTGAACTCCAATGGGGATAAAGCTGAACATGCCAGGCACGTGTGATGTCCTCTCAGTCTTCCAACTATATATTCAGCTTCCTGAGCCAGAAATGATGTTCTGTTTATTCAGTAATATTCAATGACTTTCAGTCCCATTAACTTCTATAACCTCTCTTGGAACTCCCTTATATTTTTAGCATTCAGAACATCCCTCAGTAAGAAGTTCCACCATGAGTACTGCTTGCCTTTGGTGATGTTTTTTGCTGTTGGAAAAGGCAATGAACATTTATCTGCATGCTTAATGTAAGTACTTTTTCCTGCATGCATAATTCTTAGTTTGTCACCGAATTTCACCTGCTGTTCAGTTTGCCCACACATTCAGTTAAATAACACCTCTGCAGTTTGTCATAGGTGATTGTCATCCATACCAACTTTGAAATGATGTTAATCAACCTTCTCCCCTCAGTTCTCACCTCTTTCACTAAATCACTTACAACTATGTCGAACATATTGTAGGTCCCAGAACAAATCCTTGGAAGCCTGCACTGGTAACCTCATTATACAGGATATATCTCAAGGCTCATTCATACAATCATTCATTTCCTAGTGATGCTAACAGATACATCTTACCATTTGTCTTTTAGCAGGCTTTGAAAAGAAAGTGACAACATCCTTCAATATGTTTTCAGTTTTTTCTGCTGCATTACAGTTTCTGGGATATTCATTATAGGAGCATTCTCCAACTGTTGTCTGGAAATAAAAATAACAATCACTGCTTGATTTTGAATATCAAATAATTGACAGAAGACAGAGTTCTTAAAAGAAGCATTTAATTTTAGATTTATTGAATATATGGAGCTGAAGATCATCCTAGCCCTATCCAACCTGCTTCACTATAGCTAACATACTTCTGCACTTCCCTGTTATGGTGAATTATACAGAACACTTCGAGAAGAAAATATAATAAGCCAGAAAGGGTCTTGGAGTTACTCTGTGCTCATTTGAGTCAATGACTATAGGCATATATAACGACATGGTAGACATAAGGCATCTGTTGTACCATGTTTTAGCTGATAATTTTTAACTGATGAATATTAATGTTTCACAAAGGAAAGAATGTGTACTGTATGTTCTGCATAACAACAAACGTTCTGTGTTGATATGAAATAAGGCTGATGGATGGACTAAAGTCTTCAAGGAGTTGTTCAATGCAGAAATTCTTTTTTTAAAATTAAAAAAAATACGCTTTGCTACTTAATAGCAGGAGTGAATTGAAAAAAAAAAAAACCACAAAATACAAATGCATGCCAAAGATCAGGCTTCGCATAGACGGATTAACTGAACTCAGTGGCACTCTACTGAGAACTAAGGTATTAGGTAGGATTGAAAGACAGGAATAAAAATTGAATACATACTTAGTACCTAAGTCCTGCTATGCTTCTGGTATTCACTGAATTCACAGAGATATAAAATATTATATCTCTGTGAAGATATTATTATAAGATACTATTATTAATAGTAAAATATTAAATAATGTGTGCTTACCTTGATATCCACAACGTTGAATAATTTGAAGTCATGGGGTGGAAAAGCATTAGGTATCATTAACTCTAAGTTTATATTTGGAGCCATGCTTGGTCCTGCATTGATAACCTTGTGGGGAGGAATGTTATATTTAAAGCTCTGAAGGTAGCTATTCAAGTAATAAATATATGTATATGAATAGATGAACTTCACAGAACAGGGTAGGTCCTACATTGTTACGCTGTTATGAAAATGAAACTGGATTCTCCTAGGAGATTTAATGTTTATAAAGATTGCTTAATTCATTCTACAGGATTACAGAATACTTTGCTTCCCTGAACCCAGTGAGTAAGTGGTGCATATTTGTGATGACTGCCCTGAGGTTATACATACAGCTGTCCAGGAGAAAGTAAGAGACTTATGTATGTCTCCTATTTTTTAATCCATTGGAGACAAAACTTGATACCTACAGATTCTCTTGTAAGTAGCTCCTACTTTCATTTGCATAAGATAAATTTTTTTAAAGTGTTTCTTAATAGCAGAAATGGAAAGTCAGAACTGCTCTACCACTTTCAGTCTTGTGTCTGTAAGTATCTTCTTATTTGATCACTCAGTGGAAGATTGCCCAGGTGCAATTAAAAAAAAGTGTTCTAAGAGGGATTAACAACCACTTTCCATCACCTAATGCTTAAAAATTGCTTTTTGCTCTTGTACTTCTAAAAAACTTATTGACCATACAAGTTGGTTTTAATATACACTGAAAATCTAAACATTACTCTTTCAAGCAAGGATAATAGAGTAACAAAGAAAAGCACTTACGTGGAAAGTGAAGTTGATATTCTCCTCCATACACGTAACTGATGCTTCATTCTCATTTGTTCCATAAACAAATGAAGCTGGTGTTACAAATCTACAACAGTTTAGAAGTTAATAGATTTGATATATACCATTAGCATAACTTTTTTCTCTGAGATGTCCTACAGGGCTGATGCCAAAAAAAAGAATAACTCAAGTGTTTAGTTAGGTAAAGCCAGGAACACTGAGTAGAAATCTATCTTTGTACTATTTCTACTTAAGGCAGATAAATCACAAAAGCTCACCAAAAACTATTTTCTGTGAATGTGCCACAACAAACCCAGAACATGGTCCCTGTAAACCAAGGAGTCTGAAGCATACACAATATCACAGTTTAGTTTCACACTGAAAAAGGCATCAACAGGACAGAATGAACAATGGTGTGAGAAGTGATGGCTCTTCTCTTCAGCATCCACCTGAAGCACCTTTTATTTCCTTAACAGTAGGCTTTCAGTTCTGTTCTCTTCATCTGCATCTTAAGTTTTCAAAAATTGATTGCATTTTCAGGAACTCCAGACCATTTGTTCCAGAGGATTAAGAAAAGAAGGCATAAGGAGAAAGTTGCTATAAAAGTCTGATATATCTTTATGTTTTCTTTCTGAGACATTTAATTGGATAGTCAAGTAAAATACAGCTGCAAAACTCACTGTGTTAGAATTAGTAACTGATGCCATCTGTTACTGGAATAATTGATAGAATATCTATTTTTGTTCTTAGATTAGTATTCATTTATCACATTCAGAGTATAAAACCCCATTTGTGCAAGTTTTCAAGATTCTTTCATGACTTTGTGTGCATGATTATGTCCTTCAGTGGGGTTTCTCACACAAGTGAGAAACCACACATTTTAAAGTCTCAGAATTCCAGTGCTTCATTCACAATGTATTTTAAGTTTTTTGTAGGAACTGAAGTAAAATTCCTGCCCAGTTGTTCAGTCTTCAAAGAAACTTTGTTTAATGAAAATGGAATAGTAGCACTATGCTTCTTATTAAAGAAATAACTTTATCAAAAATATTCTAGTTCTTAAGAAATATCAGTTAATTAAGAGACAAGCTCAAAGCACCATAAATATTGATCTCATCTCATAGCAGTGGAAACAGAAGCTTAGAAGAGTACAGGGCAGACTCTGGGGTAGCTGGTACCATCTCAGTCCCAGGATTTTTCAGCTACCTCACACTTCTGCTTAAGAGCTTTGGGAATTCAGAACAGATATAAGACAACAGTCTTACAGATATGCAGGGATAGCAAGAGCTGACTTACCCGTGAGTATTTAAATCAATCTCATACTTCAGAGGTACAGCTACAGTTACCATGTTATCCAGTAACACGTTCTCATCTTCATTTTTGCTATAAAAATCATGAGTGAAAAATAAGCGTAGAATGCGTTATCACATGCTACGCATTATTTCTATAAACAAATACTAATCATCTTTCAGCTTCTTAAGAGCTCCAACATTTTACTGTTAACAACATATCAGACACTAAAAAAGAAGAGATTTATAACAGGCATAAACCTGTTTATTACTTAAATAGCTGTTTTTGTGATTTTTTTTTTGTAACTTCAATTTTTCTAAAGATTAAGCGGAGGATGTGCTTTCTTGCAGTTGTGCTTCAGTAAGTCTTTTCAGTTTTCTCAATTCTGTTTTGAAAAGCTAGGAATAATTTTAAGTGAGCAATTTTTATTAAACTTTACCAGCTAACATTAATGATGATGTTGAGGTCGTCATCTGCTCTGGTGAAAGAGCTTGCATCCAAAGGGAAACTGAAATCCAGCTGAAGAACAACACCAACAAAAAAAAAAAAAAAAACAAAATCCTTTTTTAAATGCCAGTGTATCTTAACACAGTTTTAATCAAAATATTTTATTAGGCTCATCTAGAATTTCTTGCTTTTTCTAAAAAAAATATAAATAAAAATTAAGGCCTAAGTAAATACTTTTTTTGCATCTTCCACTCCTTCTGGTCTAAAAAATTTGTTCATAGCCTCAGTCAATTTATTTCTCTAGGAAGCCAACCACCATCAAGTGATACATAATAAAAAGAATGTTGTCCCTTAATGAATTTATCCAGAGAATATTCAAGCAGATATCAATGTTACAAGAAACAGTAGTTTGGAATGAGTGAAAGATTTTGCAAAACATTTTTTTTCCGAAAATCCTGTTAAAACATATTTAGAGTGTTTTTGAAGCAGAAACTTTAGGCATAGCTTACCTTTGACTTTTGATCTACATACAAATAACCAACACTGCACTCAAGTTTCACTGCATGAATATCTTTGTCTAATACTTCACAGTGTATCTGTTTTTCTTCCTAAAATTAAGGAAAATTGCTAATGATTAAAATAAAACTGTTACTTTCAGACACTTCAAGTTGCAAGCACAGACTAAAATTGTTTTCTAATGATGAAATATACAGAATAATAATACTATTCATGACTTTTTTAACATATGCTTACGTTGATTAATGCATCACTTAATTAACTTAATCACTTACTTAATTACTTAAGTTTTGTTTGTCAGAGAAACTGAGGTGTTTAAGTGGTCATTCTACACACAGCACTGTCAGATCCGTTATTTTAAGAAGCCAGAAAAAGAAAACAATTAGACCTGTGATTTATTCATAAGATTGAAGAAGATCCAATTTCAGAGTTTTTTGTGATCAGACCAAAATTTGCAATAACATATGGAAATATATTTAGAAACCAATCTTTTCTTGTTATTGTTACCACGTCTTGTTGAAATGATTTCAAAGCAACCTACATTGATTAAATCACACCTATTCTGTGGTTTAGAAAGATTGAAATCTAAGAACTTCAGATGTAGATTCGTCAGCTTTCTGAATGTGTGTACAAGGGGTTAATTTTCAGTATCTGAAGAAACTCAACAATTCATCACCATATTTGGAAAACGTCTGGCTGAGAAATAAGAATATCAAAGGATTACTGTTTGGCAGATTTTCTTGACCTTACCAAGTCCGGAACTCGGATGAAATAAAGGCCTTTAGGGAACTGAATGTGGAGGACAGTTTCATATGCATCATCTCCAGCATTGTGCAGAGAAACGTTCAACAACAAAGTCTTCGTACTTCCAACAACAAGGTACATTTTCTTATCATGAGGCCTATAAAATAATCATAATACCAGTGAAAAATAATTGTGTACACAGCTTATATGCAAAAACATCTTTTCTCCTGCTCCTTTAGTTAATCTCATCTGGTTCTGAAAAAGGCTGAGCTGGAAATCATTCAGGTGTTCTCTCAGTCCTCTTACCTGAAGGTACAAAAACAGTTAGATGATGGTCAACTCATTACTGTGCCTTTGAAAGCCTGAGGCTATTAATGTGAAAAGTGTTACCTTGGCTTTTACAGGATAGGGCCTTTTCTTAAAGAAGAGAATAGCAATGTGCTCCAACTACACTATTTTCAGATGCTATTTCAAAATCTGCTCAATATGACACAGGTCACAAGGAAGGTAGGTGATCATGCCTATCTTATGATCTATATGATGTTCTATAATCATGTTACAAGTACAGACACCCTGTGAGGGTCTAAAAGTAAACTTCAGCTTGACATTAAAGTTTAATTAAGACTTGTAGAAGCGTTGCCTAGAAATAGACATTTATCAGATATTCTGGCTTGAAACCAAAGCATTAGTCACTGAACACCTTTGGGAAAGAAGCTGGCACTTAGACAAGCAACAGAAGGTAAAAGCACGGCATAAGCAGATAGGTTCCAAGACAAAAGCGAATTAAAGAGAAACACAATGTTAACGTTTCAGTAGCTTGATTAAATTTAGGTTAAATTTTAAAATTATTTTACTGGTTATATGCTTACCATTCGGTCCTCTTATATGCATTAAAGCCAAGCTCATTAACAACACACTGTCACAAAAATGCCTCCCAGCTTAACATAGAAGTACACAAAAGCACCAGGTGCACATCTGGGACAACAACAAAGCTGAAGCAGAGCTTTTCCCTGGTAATCATATTTCATTCTTCATTAAAAAATGCATGATGTGGACTAGAAATTTACAGAGCAGGCCAAAATCTGAGCAATTTAAACAAAACATGATAGTGTATATATACGAAGACTCACAATTAGGCAAGTAAGTAAAGCATTACATCAATGCCCCTATTTGATTTCATTCTTTTAAGACTGAAAGTGTTTGCTCTGCTGTTCAAGGATAATGAATGCATTCTGTCTAGACAAAATAAATTAATGCTTCACAGCTAACTAGTTTTTAATCGAGATACCAGGGGCACAATGCAATTTAAGGTGATACTTCACACTTTATCAAGATATTTAGCCTATTTATTTACACTGAAAAGCTGCTACTGGTACCTAATGCTAAGCAGGTACATTGTAATCTGTTTTCCTTTCTTAGATCTTTGAAGCACTTAGACAATCGCACTGGTAGTATCACAAATAAATGCTGCACAATCTTTCCTTCGGAAAAGTTTATGATCATTTAAACAAATAAAACCTGAAAGCTTAAGAAAATGAAAGGGCTTTAGACTCACGCTATAAGCTACGTGTCAGAGTAGGAAAAAATACAGTAATCTTATTCTGAAATCTATGAAGATGAAAGAGCTTGTGCTCAGGATCACCCATGTGTGATTAATCAGCATTATGCGTTAGCTGTCATTGTTATGTGTCATTTGAGGATGTTCTGTGAGATAAACCTTGTATCTTGATTAAAGCACAATTAACTTTAAACTTTAAAAGTGATAAACTACACAAGAGAATCCAAGTCTCACACAAAATACCTAACAACCTGAGATTCACAACAGGTACTGCTTTTTCATTTTTGCATAAAATCAGCTCACTTTATTACATCAAAGTGTAATACTGAATAAAGGAAAAGGTTGTGAAGATAAAATTTAACTTAAAATCTAACCATGAATATCTATGTTGAATGCAAATGAAGGTACACAGTTTCAAACTTTATAAAGGTGACAGTGAATATATATCTCAAAGAATGGCTGGGTGTTACAGAGATTCTTCAAGATTATAATAATTCTATTTAAATACTTTGAAAGTGCATTAATGATATTGCATAATTACAGGATTTAAACATGATATCTAATTGGAAGGAATGAGAAAAACTGAAACATTAAAGGAGATCTTAAAGAAAACCAGGCTGTAAATAAAAAAAAAAAATCACCAAGCAAAATTATTTTTTGAAACTGTAAGCTAATTCATAAACAGAAAAAGAGGCTAAACCTTGCAGAATACTCAACCATCTAGTATCTCAGCAGTATAAAAGTGAAGATGGTGATGTTCTTAGGTAAAGGAAGAGAAGGAACTGCTTCATTATAATTGAAAGGCCTTAGTAGTAAAACTGAAGAATCTTCCTTGTACAGTGCAAGTACAGCATCTTCGTAAAAGCTGCAGAAGTAACTGAGATTGTCAGTTTATCTGCGACACTGTGCTCTTTTTCTTAGCATGCTTATGTATGAAGCATGAAATACAAGTGTACCTTTTGTCAGACTGATGTTACTTTATGAGCTGTAAAGTCTTCTAATTATGCAAGAATAGTTCTTCAATTAGGTACATTTCTGTTACATTTCCTGGAAGATTTATGATTTTAATATTCTTCAACTAAACTTAGATTTCTTTCCTGTTTTTTTTTTTAGGGAGTTCATAGTCTACTTTTGCAAATTCATTTTATTTACATTCAAGAGAACAAAGAACAATTTAGATAAAATCTAATCTATACTTACTTTGGAAAAGCAACTTTTCCAGAAACTCTCAAATCAGCAGAGCAATTTTCTTGGGAGCAAATTCTTGCAAAAACAAACTATAAAAGACCAAAAACAAAACCAAAGAAACAGGAAAAAAAGGCATTTAAAAAGGAACGTATCACCTTGTTACGAAGTATATGGAATTGGTTAATGGCCCTTGGTCCTAGAATAGGTTATGATTTGCTATTTTACAAACACATTCTGTGCACTAACAGCTACAGAGAGGCATTCCACACTCATGCTTAATCTCTCACCATTAAACCAGTATTTCATATTCAGCTGATTTTAAAAGTAGTACATTAAAAGGGCAGAGCATTTTAGAGGATCCAGAACTGAGGTCTCTCAAGTCTCTTCCATGAGACAACAGTAACTCTTGCAAGAGAAGCTCTGCTACACAAACTTTACTTATCAAACTGCAGGTCTGATTAGACCAGAGATACCAAGAGTTGCTTGTGTCTGTGCCCTGATTATCAGTATGCCACAGAGCACATTTATATCATTTGTCACTAGGTTCAGCAACTTCCTGTCTGCAATTCTGTGACTCCTAAAACAAATTTTGTGTGAAGCTTCTTTTAACTGAAGATTAAAATGTGAATGTTTACTTACTGCATTTGAAAGAAGACATCAAACACTAACCTTGCTTTTTATAATATCTTTTTCTTTCCTCCTTTGAAGAACAGGTTGGAGTGGAGAAAATTCTTGAGTATCTCTTTTCTGTAGAATACGTTGCCCCAGATGATAACTTGCTTCAACATGTACAGGAGTCAAGATATCCCTTACATCTTTCTATGAAAATTGGAAACCTAATAAGTTAATCATATAGACATGTATGCATGTGTTTTAGAAATCATGAGGAGCCTTAGAACCAAGTAAAACAGGATCACTTATTGTTTTGTTAATGTAAAATAATTTCCTATGCCATATGTTTTAAATATTTTTCCAGATGTCTTCATCACTGAAAGAATTAATAAAAAATGCAGAAAACCATAATACATTCATTGATAGCATCAGGCATTTCAGAACACATTCTTTTATTAGAAGAAGTCTAATTGAATAGTGATCTACTTTACATCCATCAACAATACTGCCGTGTTCTACTCAATTACAAAAGCAGGTAAAAGTAGGCTAAAAGGAAAAAAGTTGAATAGTGGGATAATGTCAAACAAACCAATGGATATTTCCATATTAAATCAAAAGTTCTCTTCCAGTACCACTAAATCTGTTCACAGTGACATTTTATTTTTCTGCCTTTGTATTTCCTATTCCATATTAAGGAGATTAAACTCCTCAATAAAGTACACTGTTTTCATATGAAACCTTGACTGGGCAAGAATGTTGGAGATCAGAGCTCAAACTGTCTACTTCTGAAATCTGAACAGCTTGAAGCACTGAGCACTAACAAGAGCAAACCTGACTGAATTATTCCCTAAGAGTAAGAGATAGACACTGATGGCCACCACTTTAGTTCTTAGCTACAAACTTGCTTTCACGAAATCACAGGAAATCTAATTCATAATTTTCCACAGGGTCTTCTCTGCATCTGCTTTATATTATTTTCAGTATACTAATTGGCTATTAATTACTCTTTACTTAAAATACATAACATGCACATAGTCTCTTGTAAGAACTGTGCTTGACAGACATTTACACTTAATTTTAGGAGCATCACACAAGTTTTCATACAGAAACCTCAGTGGGTGGATGGAGATGCTTTAATGCTATTAATTAAAAATTGGGAAAAAAATTGAGCTGTGTGGAGGAAAAGATGTTAATGATAGATTATGGGAGCTGAAAAGCCAAATCGTATCTTTCTTCCTACACAAATACATGCTGGTACAGCAATCTGTATACAACCCTTCTAAGAAAGTGGGCAATTTGCCATTGCTCCTTTAAGAAACATTCATTTAGGTGCAACTACCAATTGAGATGCATCTAGGCAATGTTCCAGGAGGTAACACAAGCTTTCCATTCTACCCAAAGCTTTATCGTGAAGAATTAGTGTCTAATGATGTCATAAACAAAACAGGAATAAAAGAGAGAGAGTCAAAAATACATGTAGGGTTTTCATAGCTGTAGAAGATTACGTCAATTTCCCAGCCTCTGCATAGGATCAACTGCATCAGTCATCCTAACAGATGTTTGTTCTAAAAGGTCATGAAATTGCTACCTCAAGGATTTTAAACAAAAGGCCAGGCAAGCTAGGTCATTACTTTATTACCGTTTTTCTCCTTACATCTAAATATACCCTGTTCTTAATATTTCTATAAAGAATTATTTTCCTTTTTAGGTAATGCCTTACAGGAGATAATTTTTAATTTTTCCTCTGTTTAGTAAATTGTGATTCCTCTTTATCCAGTAGATTTTATTGTTTGATTGTATCTTAGGACTTCAAATACTTCTTGATTGCTCTCCGAATTTTTGCTGGAGAGGGCTAGCTTCTAAGATGTTTGATTGATTGAATCACTGTATTTTTTTCTTGTTCAGGGAATGGCCTTAAAAATGTCGTCTTTGTTTGGACTGCAGCTCTTACTTTTAAGATGGGTCCTTCATTCATCATTCAGAGGGATATACCAAGCATGAGTACTGCATTTCTTTTCTCTAAGGGACTTAGAAGCTATTATTGGTGTTAGAGTCTTACTGACTATATTTGTACCAATTCATTTCTAAGCCAGAACCTCCTGCCAAATGCCCACTACTGTGGCAGCACTGCTGTCTGTGGCTTCTCCTCTGAAGCAATTCTACCAGTAGTTTCTTTCCACAGCAAAGTTGTCTCTACAACTTTATAGACAGAGAATGGAAACCACATTCATGACACTAACCCGGTCCAAGATAGACACTGAGATTCCCAGGAGAACATAGATTTGTACAGGATTCACTTTTGTGAGCAGAGGAGTAGGGAGATACTGATCAGTCTGTAGGCACAGTGCGTGGTTTTCACATCATTCAGCTCTGAAGTCATTCATGAAATTCCCACGAATGCTCTTCCTACTCCCATGGAAAACCGTATGTCACACCATACCCACTTAGTTGCTACAAACTAAATCCCTAAATCCATCATCCATAGAAGGGTGAAAAAAAAAAGTCGAAAATGCTCATGTTCTACTTCGTTAATGTGATGATGATTATTATGCATGTTTTCTCTGACAGATGAGATAGCAGACCCCAACATGCTTATAGAAAGCTGAATAAGCACAGAACTAAAAGGTATCACAATTGTGAAAGTTATGAACACAAATATTTTACTTCAGAAATTATGTGATGCCACTGCAAACAAAACAAGTTATTTTTCAGCAGGTGTGTTTTCAAAAGAAAACAATGAATTTACAGAGCAATACATACTGAAAATTACATTACCCTCATAAATGCTGGATGACCTTTGCAGACAATTTTTTTTTTGTAAATCTTGATTCTTCCAGAGGTTGTGTCAGATGTTCCATTGGCAGAAAAATAAAATCTTGCTTGTGTATCCACTTTTCTCTTCACATCAACACTCAGATTATAAAACATTTCTGCAAAATAAAAAAAAAAGAACATAAAAGTTATAAAAACTTTAATGTAATAAATTCATTATTTCCATGAATTTATGATAAAATCACATTTTTTACTCACTCCCTTAAATACGTTCCATAATATCCTTCATAAAATGCTCCACTTAAACATTCTAAGTTGGTAAGTCTTACATTCAAAAGCAGCAAGAGTAGTCCAATTTGACTGCCCGTCATATACAATAAATATGAATTTTAAAAGATAGGAACTTGGAACTTAAATTTTACCATTACATGTATTTTCTGGAATGTTTTTCTAAAGGATAACATATATTCTCATACAGAAGTTTTAAGTAATTTGACTTCATATACAATGAGGGAGATCAACTTCTTACACGGTCTGACAGGGGTAGGATAAGGCTCTAAACTGAAAGAGGGGAGATGTAGGTTAGGTGTTAGGAGAAAATCCTTTACTCAGATGGTGGGGAAGTGCTGGCACAGCTGCCCAGAGAAGCTGTGGTGCCCCATCCCTGAAGGCATTCAAGGGCAGGTTGGATGGGGCCCTGGGTAGCTGAACTGCTTGGGGGTAGCCCTGCCATGACAGAGGATAAGAACTAGGTGATCATTAAGGTTCCTTTCAACCCAAGCCATTCTATGACTCTATGATTATGTGACTGTATCTTAGAGCATATATAAGCATGTAAGTAAGGTGTTCACAGAATACTCTATTTTTTGTAAATCATTGTGGCCTACTATCTCACTCACAAACATATTAAAATGATGTATTGAAATGACAACCTGAAACAAAATCACTACAATGCAGTTCAAAGTTACCGGCTGGAATTTAATCACACTGCTATTATATAAGCTAATTTAGCTACTAGAAATAGTGTATCCGTGGTACCATTTTCAGTACTGCTGCAAAATCTCTGAAAATATTGTGAAATGGTTATAGGCAACCCCAGAGGAAAGGCTTAGTGTTGCCACAAACTAGTGAGGTAGCTAACAATTAGTTACCACTTATCACTATGTTCTTAGGTTACACTGTAGATGCAGTAGACAACTTGGAGTTCCACCTTGATCCTCACCATGATGCCTTCTCACCTTTTTGATATCACTACCTGTTACAAGACACATAGCTCAAATTGTCCTAGTAAGGATGTGCCATTACTCAATTTTTATTTTTTATTTTTTTTACAAAAGTAATGGTTGGGCATTAGAGAAGCTAAAAAAAGTATCCATTTTTTATAGTTTTTCATTTCATCCTGAACTCAGATCAGTGAACACCATTACTCATTAAATACCAATAGCATTACTTTGCAAATGTGTCCATTTCAAATGAATACATAAATGGGAAATAGCTTACCAATATACCCAGGTACCTCTCGTCCTGTGTAGGTAAAGCATATCTCTAGATTCATACAGATGGCAGGCTGGTCATTTTCCATGCAGTTCAAATTAGTTCGATTTATTGACTTCAGGTGTTTTAAGGAAGCTTCAACAATTATCACTGGTTTTGTTCTAAGAATGCAGAAGTCAGTATTCACAAAATGCTTCAGAAATAACTTACACTATCTCTGCAGAATCTAATGGAATCTCTAACAGTTATTTTTCTATTTTAGTATTATGATTTTTATGTTATCTGCATTTTAAAGTATCTAAGTCTTTGTTGCCTTAAGAAATTTTGGAAGAGTTTTTTCTTTCTCATCAAAGAATTTATTTAAGTGATTCAGGTGTATAGCATTCTGGAGCCAAATGACTGAAATTGAGGACACCAAGAAAAACATCGTGAGGTTACAATCTGCAGGTAATTTTTTTTTTAAATTTCATTTTACAAAGTACAGTTACACTGCATGGTCTTTAAAAGCACTAAAAGGTAGTAACCTCACCTCAGCACCACAGCAGAATCAGACAGAAATGCACCAACTGCTATATCTGTATGAAAAAAATTGATCAACAAGCTTAAATTGTCAACGGGAATTACTTCTCAGGTACAAATGTTATGTAACATACTCATCTTTTGGCAGCATTTAAAAATGACTTGTCCTTTATTTGTTAAAAGATATGCATATGGCATGCTTCTCTGTACAGAAGATGATTGCTCAAATACTTGTCCCCTGGCCATTTGCTGGACTTGCAGATATTTGTAATGGGAAGATCTGATTTCTATTCCAAGTTTAAGCAGCTGACACAGAAATAAATTCAGCTAAACAGGAGTCATGTACCTTCTTTTAAACCCAAAACTGTGATTTTGCTATGCTATGCACACACATATACAAAACAATTTAATTATATGTATCATGTCTAAAATTATAGATAGAATTTGGTAGAGCTAGAAAAAATATAATTTATTCCAATTTAACAGAAAACTACTAATGTAATAAGGAAAAACATGCAGCTGCTTACATAAGCAGAGCCTACAACATACACTTCATGGGAACTTTATGCTTTAAGACCTGACATAATGTCTATCTGTACAGTGGCAGAGCATTATAACTATATATATAAAGCAAAGAGTTTTTACACAAAATTAGCACTTCTGTGTCCATAACAATACTCATCCAAAGCCACGAGTCCTGAGTCAGGTTAATACACGCCATGCACACAGACTTAGTGTTGCTGAGCTCACTGACTCCTAGCAAGATCCAGACTATGTGAAGACCAGAGAGATTTTCAGGATAGCACACTAGACTGGCCAACAGATGTGCTTCCTGTACCTGAACTAGCTCACTGTGACACTAGCTAATGAAATGATTACAGTAAAAAGTAAAAATTATATTTTTCTTTCTCTTGGGTACTATGATCTTGCTGTTATATTTTTCTTCTACATCATCAATAACAGTTAGATGACCATAAAAAATGCGTGTCTTCAGCTTTACTTCTTTTCTTTCCAAAATGCTAGATCATGTCATCTTAATAACAGATTTTCTTCTGTTAAGAGTAACAAGTAGCAGTGAAGTTGTTCCCTATGAACTTGCACTCTTTTAAAATGAAAAATAATCACAATTGTTTAAATCACCTTGATAACCATTGTTATCTGCATCAATACCGCTTGCTATTGACTGTCCAAACATGCTCAAAGTAGTACTGACTTGCTGTCCTTGTATTCTCTAATGAGGAAAAAGAAGAGAAAATTATTTCTGGAAAGTAACTTTAGTGTTACAATATCCAATCAAGTAGATAGCACAACCACCCTGCTGCTGAAGCAGTCATGCATCTACCTGTGGAAGTGTACCTCTAAAAGTAATATTCTTCCACTACTGTAAATGCTATATCCACAAACCTGAGGCCTCTAAAACATTTTTATTTTTTTGTAAAGGTTATATTATGATAATCACAGTCTGTGTAAAAATTTCTGGAGTCTTTTAAAGTACTGAATGTTAAATTAAGAGAAAAACCTCTTGAATCTAAACTTAACGTTTTTTTTCCTGGATTGATTGATTTTTCATTGAAAAAATCATACCTGTGAAAATGATGGAGTTATTCCATCTTCCCTGCCGTTGTATATATAAATAGCTCCTTTTAGATCATCTTCTTGTGGAGCCCCAATTGCTACGTCTGTGGAAAAAAAACAATTATAACAATAAACAGTTGATTAAGAAGCGTGAACAAAATGCAGTTAATGAAATCCAAACCAGAATGCACGCCGTATCAGAGCACATTTATTTGACTGAATTCAAAAGCAAGTGCTAAAGATAAAGGGAATTGGAAACAATACAGACAAGCTCAGTAACGTGACCCTGCCTGAAGTACTACTGCCTTTCTGGAAAATAAGGGCTAAGCTGCCATTAATTTTGTGCAATGCAAAGTCTGTTCTTATCAATCCTGAATTTGACCCTTCAGAGGTTATTGTGGAGAGTGGCTAAAATGTGGTCTTGAAAAAACAACTGCCTGTGTTCTTGAAACTATTATGATTTTCCTGCACTCTGCTATTCCCAAATGGACTAAATGACTGAAGCACAAGTAGTAGTTTTATTACATTAACTAAAATGAACAATGTATTTTACTGTGATATGTCCTTAACAGCTGATAAGAGGAATGAATGGGCATTTAACATGGAAATGAAGGCAGTCCGTTATCTGTACAAAGGATTATATTTTAAACATACTTGATTTAATCCTTAAATGGTTCGTCAACATAAAAATACACAAACCAACCAACCAACCCTTAATAGTCCCTACCAAAACATCAACAAAAAGCTCCAGGGTTCAAATAGCCAGAGGACATTCACCAAAAAGCAATGGGGGAATTAATTACAACATCTTAAAATTCACCCATGCAAATCAATAATGATGACATTTCATTCACAAAGAAACAGAACTATCTGTAAATCAGAAGTAATATATGGACCACCAAACCAAAATCAGAAGAAAAGCAAAAATCTGATGCCTGGGTTTAGCTGAACAGCTCTCTGATTGAATCCACATTGACTGAATCCATACTTGGCTGACTAAAACACACAAAATACGTCTCTCCACTTGTGAGATGAAAATAGGACAGCCAAGTTGTGCTGTCTAATTAAAGCTAAACATATGTTCTTGCGGGGGGGTCAGATTCTACACCAACGTGCATGCCATTATCTTCACGGGGCTGATACAAAAAGCTTACATCACTGAAGATGTTGGCTCTGCTGTGCTTTTCTGTTACTTACTATAGACAAATGGTTTCTAGCACCCAATTCCTCTTTATATTTTGCTTCCAGCTGTTTTTCTTACAAGAAAATTTATTTTCCTATTGTCACTCTCAATATCGTCTCCACTTACTCTTTCCAATGTTTAGCTTCCTTCAAAAGCTAATCTACTTGCTTCAAGTCTCCCTGCAGTTTTATGATGCCCATTTTATATTATATTCAGTGTCATATATCTGCTTTGTTATACTGCTATTAAATTGATTTTACTTCTCTGTTCCCCAGCCCTATGCTTGACTATTGTTTTGCTTTGCAGTTTGCAAATATTCTAGGGCAAAACTTGAAACTTCTGTGTAAATTTATGAATATCACGCAAAACAGAAGAACTGGAATCTAGCAAGAGTTATAGGAACAGTAGGTAAAGGAGGAAAAGGACTGCTTTAGGGAAAAGAAGGCCTGGTAAGAAGCAAATTACTGTTTTAAGTCTTGCAGGTTACAGGAGAGGACCAAGAACAGAGAACAAAGGGACAAAATCTTCTCAACCTTTCATAATGCTCCCATTTATGGTGACAGGCCACTGCTCAGTGAGAATTAAAACCAAAGTGTTTTTTTTTTTTTTTTTAAATGATTTTCATACTTACCTTCAAAACCATCATTATCAATGTCTCCTAGATTGGCTATGGACTCCCCAAATCTGGCTGCATATGAGTCACTCCCACTGAGCTCTATGTCCAGTTCTATCATCTTTGCCTCCTGAAGGAAAACATCATCAAAGGCACATTAACAGAGGCTCTTCCAGGGGAAACTCCTCAGAATAATAAAACTGCTTGGAGCATTGTAAAATTTACTCAACTCCTTACTGCAGAAGCCAGCATTATCAAAGATATCTAAAAATATTTACCATAAGAATGAGAAGAAATAATACAGCTGTTCTTTAAAAGTGAAAACAGCAAATTCCCATAGCAAACACCTGTAAACAGCAGAAGGCTTGTATCAGAGTACAGGAGCTTACTGCTCTGAGAAAACTGTGTGCATTAAAGTCTACATAGCTAGCCTCTGTGGGTGTGTTACAGAGTCCTGCTGAGATCATCACCATGCTTCTACAGTTGTTTTTCCTATATCCTGTATGATACAGGAGAAGCAATCTTTTAGCTTGTTTTACGAGAACAACTGTGGTACTACGTATTTTGAAGAAAAAATACTTACAGAACCTGAATTGATATAGACATAAACTCTTCCTTCTTCTCTGATGGTACTTTCCATGGGAGCACCAACTAGCAGGTCTGAGAGGCCATCTGAATTCAGATCCACAGCACAAACCGCAGCCCCAAAGTAAGAACCAAGCTGTGTGCAAACAAGAAATCCTGTCACTTCAGTTTTTTATGGTAGAAGTTGTAAGGTGCAGAAAAGTAGCATAAAAGACATACCTTTTTACCTCTTAGTTCAAACAGAATATTCAGTTGCTTGTCAATGCTAAAAATGTACGCCTAAAACGAGAAGAAAACAAAAGTGAAGCTCAGCAAACAGTAATCTGATATACTATCTTCTGTTTTCTTTATAGCATGTGCAAGAGAATCATCTAGGCAACACACAGTATCACAAGGTACTGCTACTTGCTATTTCCTATCTGTACCTTTAACATTGCAGTTCACAGCAGTATTATGTAGACTGTCTTCCCTCCTTCTTTCTTTAACTTTTCTCCCTAGGAGAAATCATATTACCTGACACTTGTCTTTATTCTGTTAATCTAATCTGGGAAATAAATAGGTGGCTAGTGGTGGAGTATTGATCAAACCAACAATATAAGCAATCTCTTACTTTACCAGTCTGCTCCTGTTGGGGAGCCCCTCCAATTACTTCTGTGCTAGATGATGCCAGAAAATGTCCAGCTCCAACAGAGTACCCTGCAAAACAGAAATGCACTATTCACTACTGTCAGTGCTATACAAACTAAAAAATGGGAGGGTGACGCTTGAAAGCTGTCAACAAATTATTACAAGTCTGAGATTCAGACCTCATGCAAGTTAGCAATGAAAACAGAAAACTTTTAAATATAAGCAAAAGGTCCATACAAACATTAAGCTCCAATAAGTAGAAATGAGTGTCAGAAACACATTTCTTCCCAGAGATTCAATTATCTGCCAAACTTTAAAAGTCTGTAAAATAAATGGCAAACATCTTCTGTTACTGCATATTCTACAGTTGCTCAGTGAGTCCATAATGCAGTGCAAACTATCACTTGTGCACACAGTGCAACATGGAAGCACTTCATTCGATTGTCACTCAAACTATTGTTCTAACTGGACTGCAGAGAAATTAAATGTGGGGGTACTTACGCCTGTGCACATCTTTACGTCTGTGTGTGAATGTTTTTATACACACACACAGAGGTTACTGTGTATGTCTACATAGCACTAAATCAGACCAAAAGCTTGATTACATAATAAGAAAACATTGCATCAGCTTTTGTAATTGAATCTACATAACAACGTATTTGTCTGTGTGGAGACAGCTCTCGACAAGCAGGACCACATTTTGGCGCAGACATCCAGCCACAGAATTGCGATGCCACAAGCTGTAGCTACACCAGTCATTGTTATTCCTTCCAGAATGCATTATAGCTAATTTGAAACAGGGAAGACAGTTAACATATTTTGCTACTCTTGCATTTACTGAATTTTTGTTGATTTTCACAGCTTTCAGAGAAAATGGAAAAATCATCTTGGATCAGATAAGAATGGGCTTTAAATCTTTCATCTTTGAAGACAGCTGTTGGGAATTCATGTTCTTAAAGCCAGCATTTATTTTCATATTTTAAGGTAAGAGATGTGAAAAATACAGTTTCTCATTTAAAGGTCAACACCTAGTTCATGCTTATTGAACCAAAATTAAACTTAATTAGATGAACCTTAATTTGCCTCCTCTAACCATTTATATATATATATGTATATTTATATATATTTAATGGCTTTATGAAATCTAACATTGATAATTGTAATGAACTTTAGAACAAAAAATCATGAAAAGAAACTATGATAATCACAGTGCCCAGATTCCTACTGTGGCATTACAGTGTGCGTGGGAAGAAAAAAAATCACAAAACTGATTCATTTTCTCCATTTTTAATGATAGATATTATATTGACTTCAACATTTAAAAAACTTTCATGAAAAAATGCCAGAAATAATACCTTACAATTAAATAATATTGATCAAAATTAGAACACATCTTTAGAACTGTCACTCCTGGGATTAACAAAGCAAACGCTGAGAAACACTGTGCAGTGACTTCAAGACAGCAACTATTTAGCTAAGCATTTGATTAATATATTTATAAAGTATGAAAGATTTGAAGTACCTAGATAGCTGCCAAATTTCACTTGGTTATTTGAATCTGTGTAAGTATGGATTGTATTTGCAGTTGTATTGTATACAAAAACAGAACCAGTCCAATAATACGATCCAGGGGCTCCCATTATAATTAAGTCCTAGAAGAAAAATAAAACATAGCTATGTTATTCAGGCTTAAACATTCACAAAAATTAGCAAAACAAGTCAAGCACTTTCCTTCAGATCTTCTGTCAACCCAGAGAAATGCAGTTGGAGATGTGTATGGCTCAGCACCAAGAAATTACCACCAGATTATAGATAACATTTTTCAGCCTTTTTTAAAAACATGATTGTTACAAACATTGATCTGAGAACATTTTAGTATGAACACCAAACTGTATAGTCTCACTTTCACTTTTTTTAAAGAAAAATCAGACGCTTAAAATGTTGACTGTATAATGCAGAATATTATTCTGCAAAGCAAGAAGATAAGGCTTATGAGCGTTAATGTTACATGAAAAAAATTAATAGCAAGAGAACCATAAAACTCCATACTTTGTTACATTCATGTTCTTTTTCCATGAATAGTAATTTTTAATTGCAGATTAAAAGTGATTTTAAAGTAAAAATATTCTTGGTTAGTTTGGGAATTATCATGCAAGTGTTACTGACATTAATTATATTATTGTTATATAATATTTATATATTTTATATGTATACACATATGTGTATATATACACACACACACACACATATGAGATGTTTGGTGTCTTCAATACAAACCCCCATGTAAAAGCTAGACATTCCAGCCTGGCATGACCCATGATTCTCTCCAAACTTTCGCACGTGGTCTGCATATAGAAAAGAAACATACAAGAGGATGAGAAGCATGCAGCTTCAGAACTTATTACCAGGTCTTCAAGAGCAGCTGAGACAAGCTTAAAACAAAACAAAACAATGAATTATCAGTCTTCAGTTCCATAATAAAACTAAAAATAGTGGATTCTCTGATATGACCCTTAATGTCAATACACTGATGTAACAAACCCAAAGCACTAAGTATCTCTTGATCACAACTGCTGCTGAAATCTTGTGACTTTAAAGACTCCAGTTTTCCCTTTAAATTATTCTATGAGAGTGAAATAGTATGAATTGAGAAACACCAATGGATAAAACTCTTTTCCACTCTGCCTATAATCCAGGCAATCTGACTGATAGGCTTATTTATGTGTCTTGACAGAAGTTGCCCTGATGCTCCGTTAAGCTTTGAAGGACTTATTACAGATACCTTAGAAATATTGGTACCTATTACCTTTAGCAGTTGTTTTACACCCAAATCTCCCAGCCCTGTTTTCCTGCTCCTCCTTGCTAACCGCCTCCCATCAGGATCCCTTTTTCTCATCCCTAGGTTTGTTCACCTAAAAGCCACAGAAGAGAAAAGCATGACTTCCTTCTGTGGCCAGATTGTCAGCTCTCCCTTACACTGGCAAGGAATAGGACTGCCCTCCTGGATGAAAAGGAAAGCAGGATGGTCTTGTTTCAAAGTTGCAGGTCTCAATTCTTATTCTGTCCCTGCAGTCCTCTGAAGAAGGACTGCCCAACATCATGAGCAGTGGCCTTGGCAGGAGGCGGTTTAGGAACAGCAACACACAGCAGCTGGACGTGTGGCTGTGCTGGGAAACCAGAGGCTAAGGGGAAGATGACAATATCAATCAGGTGCTACTGATGATTCCCTGAAAGGTAATGCTGAGCACAGCAAGCAATTGACAGAGCAATTGAACTGAGGAGGTCCTCCACTGGCCTATTTTTGGGATGCAGCTATCCAGCCCAACCAGCAAATATGTATTTTGCCTTTTGAATGCAGTTTTTCTAAGAGGTGGCAAACATCCTGCTAGCAAAGTTACATCATTCATAACATCAGCGCTCTGCCTTCAAGCCTTTGGCTGCAGAAATCCTGCCCAGAGCAACACAGACTTTTCACAGCTCTGCACTGAATTTTGCATCTCATCCTTCCTTAGAAAGGACTCAAGCATTATGCTTACCTATATAACATGGGCATATTCTTCTGCTCAGCTCAGTTCGAAAATCAGAAGAGACAGCAAAACAAATACCGTATGGGAGTTTGTGTTCATTTTTTATGTAAAAGATATTTTTCCACCTATGTCCACAAGCCTATGGATAAAAAACATGTGGTGTTTGACACAGAAGCACGAGAATTACGAAGGCACTCTGACAAGCAGACTTGCAGCTGCAGCAGTGAATACATACGACAAAAGATCCGTTTTCTCTGGGCTGCCTTGATAAGCTGACACCCAGCCACTGATGATCTCGTTCTTCCAAACAAGTCTTCCCACAGTGCTCCCCGCTAGGATTGCCTAGGACACAAAAACCAATGCTGAGCATGAGGACAAGCTGAAGGGCTACATGGTGTCCAACAGAACCTTACGGGGAAACTTTGGCAGCTGACACCTGTCTCCATTTTGCAAAGGCCACATATATGTTTCATGTTTGTGAACAAAGGCAGGAACGTATGCAACCAAGGGGAGCATGCTGTTTCTGAACATGATGAGGCTGGCGGTGACAAATGACTTCTCCATAACTACAGAAACTGTAGCAGAAAGTGATTTTACACTCAGTCTGATGAAGATTTATTTTTTTAAGGTAACATCTCTTTCATGGCTTACATCATATCACTATGAAACAATCCTTAAGTAGTAAGTTCATGTTACTAAGCTAACTGAGCCTAAAGATTTTCAACTGATACTCAAAAATGAAAGCCAGCATGAGAAATCAAGGAAATCCAGCATAGAAGTGTTCCTTTTGCTCCCTCCCCACATTTTGGTTTTGTTTTTAAACATCTAAGAGTGAGTTTATAGAGTAAATGTGGATTCCCTATCCTGGAATTCAGTCTTCTGGAGTCTGAGACTATATTAGGGTCAGTTTTAGAAACATTCTTTGCAAAGATTTCTTCAGCAACCTTCTTATCTATGTATCAGTTCAGATACATAGATCTGTAGCAGATCTTAAAATTATCCCTACTTTAAATGGCTGTCAGGTAGAGAGTACACAACTGCAGTCTCTATGGGAAATGTGAAATCCCTGAGTCTCCATGTACCGCATACTTCTTGCTTTGTTGCATTTATTTAGCAGTAAGGGTTTTGTTAAAGAGTGTTAATTTTTAAAAACCTTACATAACACAGTGAAAATTCTTCAAACTCTCCCAAAAAGGATGAAAGGATGAAAGGATTGAGCACAGCTCTGCTGAAAAAGACCTGAGGCTACTAGTGGATGGAAAGCTGGACATGAGCCAGCAACGTGCCCTCACAGCTCAGAAATCCAAATGTATACTGAGCTGCATCAAAAGATGTGTGACTAGCAGGGCAAGGGAGGTGATCCTGCCCCTCTACTCTGCACTGGTGAGGCCTCACCTGGGGTCTTCTATAGTGAGGGTGGTGAGCACAGGTTGCCTAGTGTTGTGGTTAATGCCCTGCCAGACTTTCAAGATGAGGCTGGATCAGACCCTTGGCAACCTCATTTAGCTGTGGTGTCCCTGTTCATTGCAGGGCAGTTGGACTAGACGGCCTCCAGAGGTCCCTTCCAACTCTAAGGATTCTGTGATTCGAAAGATTACAGCACTACCAAGCCAGCAAATACTCACTTCCTCCTAGGAAGCAGCAGTTCTCTTGTAAGAAAAAGCTGCACATTTAAAGATATTTTAAGTTATATAAATCATGCTTTACATTCATAAGGGTACCTACTGCACACCTGGGAGAATTGACATTAACATACACTGAACCAATATTTTTTCTATGCATCACCATTACACAGCTTATGAAGATAACTGCTTATAAAATAAGGAAATACATAATGCCAGTTAAGCAAGTTGTTCTGTACAGTTCTGAAGTTTTGAAGATCTCTCCCAGATGCAGTGCTGTAGCTATGAGCTGTGATTCCTGAAACCCAGCAGCAGGCATCAGTTCTGGGGACATCCCACCCCTTACCCCTGTGTAGGCACCAGGGCTGAGATCTATCGCTGTCCACTGCATTAGAGTGAACACACAGCCCTAATTCAGTGCATTTGTTGAATTGCTCTTGGAGAACACAACCACCCCATATTAAGTATGGAAACAGAAAGGGCTGTAATCTAGTCCATTCAGCCACCTGAGGATACATGAATGACTGTGGATTTTGCTATATACCACTGTTTTAAATGACTATGTACTTAGAGAGCTTTGTGTATCAGAGTTTTGGACAGAAAATACCAGATTTGTAGTATCAAGGTAATTCTTTGTCACATGGTAAAACATAAGGAGAAGCATCTGCAGGAATAAAAGCCACTGCATTCCCAGGCATAGGAATTAATACTCCTTTAAATCAGAAAAACCACTTCTGGCAACTCCCTTCCAGCAATGCTTTCTGCCCTCCTATGGCAAAGAATTACTTGGGATTTCCTTGATAGTGCATGTGGGTTTGTAGGAAATGGACCAAGTGGAGAACGCTGGTACCATAACTCTAACCTCAAGAGGTTTCCTGAACCTTTTTATCAGTAAGTCAAGAAAGACCAGGTAACAGTAACACCTGAGATAGGAGAAAGCTTTGCTCATCTCAGTCCTTCACTCTTGTATGTATGTTGGAGGTCCATAACAGAAAAATGCACCACCATTCACTGCTCCTCATTGGGTTATATATCCTTTTTCCTGAACTCCACCATGTGCTGATTCAGATTTCTTTTGGCCCTTTGTTGACTGCTGCCTTATGTCTCCTCTCTTTCTCTGATTGGCAAGCATTCAAATGTCTTGATAGGCCTTTGTGAGCAAGAGAAGGGTGAATTTGACATCCTAGACACAGCGATGAGCCCCTGCTCAGCGTAGGACATTATGAAGGCTTTCTCCAGTGATAAAGCTACATTCTGCACAAGCAACAGAGCTGCACTACATAAGCTCAGGAGGACACAGCAGCTTGACTGCCTCAGGGAAAAGGAGCATGCGTTGTCATAAAGTCACTGAGAGATAAGTAATTGCCCCGTCTGTGTACATTACACAGCTGGAAGATACACTTCTGTATAATCCCTGCTGCACACATCCACAGAAACAGCATAATTGCACATAAACAAGGTCAGAACTCAGAAAGCCATTTCTAGTTCTGGCCTCAAGGACTCTAATACAGATGTTTGCAATGTCATCTGAGAAACCAGTTTTATATAACTTGCGTCAGTGCTCTCCGTGCCCAACAGCCTCTCACAATCCTTTTTATCCTTCCAGAACTCCTCTAATGCCATCTGATTATAACAACAATTTACTGCGAGGACAAGACTCCTGATGTCCTTCTCCTAGATATCAGGGCCTCAGCCTCCTTTCATTTGCCCAAGGCAATCTTCTCTCTTTTCAGGGATTGGATAGCTCTTATCTCTCTAATGCTCCTCAAATCACTTGCACCTGGAAGATGATGTTAGTTGAGAGCTGTTTCTGTGATCCCATAGGAGACCTACACTCAGACAGTCCTGCCTTCCTTGGAATACATTTCCAAGTAGACCACTGGCAGCGGATGATCAATGCAAGTGAGATCAAAAAGCCAAGCAACCAAAAGGAACATCGCTGAGATCAGGGTTGAACATAGGTCTGCCATTTGGGGAAAGCTATTAGCTGCTCACTTTTCCAACTTAATGGTTCGGCTGGGGGAGCTAGAGGGCAATTTCTTCTTAAGTTAATTGCAGCTGGGACTTAAAGGAAGGGTGAAAGACACTGTGGGCAGTGCTTTCTGATCTGATTCTAAAAAAAAACAAAAACAAAAAACATGCACTGACTGTACAGTATATATTATAGTTGAAACTTTCATTTTATCTTTAGACTGGTTGGCAATTTCTATTAAGTCTCCTGTTTTTTCAACCAATAGAAAGCTCTCAGTTTCAAATCTGAGGGTAATTTCATTGAAAACATTCTACAAGTCCAAAATATAAGAGGCCTAAAGATCTGAAGAGTGAGTCCCTCTACAGTCATCCACTGCTGCCCCAAACTGACACAAATAAGTTCTTGGAATTCAAAAACATGCTAGCAGGATGACAGTGCTCTGGATAATATATTTGAGCATTCTATTCTGTATTAGTGCCTACAGCTCCCAGCTGTGTCTGCATCTAACATAAACCATCACCTAGAAATACTCCAAATATGGATAAATCAGTGGTCTAGACCATCTGACACCAATGACAGAAGTACTAGAGCTAGAAACAAGACTCACAACTTTACTCCTCTTTTCAGCAATCAGAGAGTTTTGGAAGTACCACCAAGGGGCTGTGAAGACAAAAATTTACTTGCAGATTTTATTGTTCCTCTTGCTTTTTACACCAGCCCATATCTTTGCAACACCATGAGCAACACAACAATTCTCTGGATGTGTTGTTTTTGGATGCTGCGATGACCGTAGCATAAGACTGTTCCCAGCAACTCTTTCTCTATTGAGCAATCAGACAGGGACATGTGACACAGAAAACACAACAGCAGTTCTATGTGATCAGGGACTTCATAAATTGCCCACGAATCTTTTGTTAATTTATTAAATCAGTTTCAAGGCTACTTTAGCAACAATATGTTTTAACATTTTTACGTCCAAGTCCTTCTGCTTATTACAAAGTTCTGATGTTCAAAAAAACCCCACTTCTGTTATCACCTCTACATTTCATATCCAGAAACTTATCTCAAAGACTCTTCATCTGAAAGAAATGTGAATTCAAGTAATTAAAAGAAAGATAAAAACGGTTGCTCTGCCATCTGCCCATCCCAGGAATATAATATATCCTTGCACTTTTTTTCAGATAAAATTACCCTATTCTACAAGCTCAGAACCCAAACTTGTTGCTGGTAAGAAGCAGAAGAACTAGGTCACTGACTGACTGAAAGATACAGTGTTGATAAAGACTATTATGACCCCAAGATGCCGACAGCCTCAATGAGCTAGACAAGAGATAATTAAGTTTAGCTTTGTAACTGCAAATTCCCTTGTGTATTTCTGTGACCGCTCAGCAGGAAGGCAGAGACTTAATGAAGTTCAGATCCTATCCTACTTCATTTACATCCCACGCACCACATCACGGTTTGGCTGGTTTACTGACCTCACTTCTTGTTTTACTGCAGAACTCTTCCTTTAAGATGCATTTACCTTCAGAAATACTGTAGACAAACCTTGGTATTACAAAGATACTATCTAGCACTAAGGGAAATAAACACTTTGCAAAACTCTCTTGCGGTATCACTGTTTTTAAAAGCTCAGGACAAGACAGTAAACACTGCTGTGTAACCTGCAGTCTCTAAATCCAGGGACAGAAGCAGCATTAACCTAAGCTTTTAGTACCATGTAAACACTTTGGGTCACCTGTTGCATCATTTTGTTTTGGATCTTCTAAGCTACTGAGGAAAAGACCATGAATTTCCTTTGTTAGATAGAGCTCTTGTCTCCACACTGGCTAAAGAGGTGAATGGAGAAGTGCTGCAGAAGTATTGCAGCTTTCAAAGAAGCTGCAACCTTAGCACCCTCCTCCTCACCTACACAGTGAGAGGCTATTTTAGCTTCCAACCCAGGAGTAGAGGCTCAACACTATTTCTTCATACGTTATTTCACCCACTAGTTGACTTCTTTGACTTTCCCAAGCCTCTTAAACAAGCAACTGGAGAAGAAAGCTATTTCTTATACATTGTATAAATTTAACATTGGAAGAAAATTACTCCAATAAATAAAAACAACAACGACGACAAAACCAAACCAAACCAACACTAATGAACTACTTGGGCTGGTATAACTTCATGTGCTGTTCTTTCTATGAGCAACCACTTGTATACTTGTATACTATCTATTTGTAACTTAGTTACAAAAGGTAACTTTTACTGCCAGTTGCAAAAAAAACCAAAAACAAACAAACAAAAAAAAACAGGTCAAACCTGTCCATTCTGAGCACCACACAGAGTGGCACAGGGAAATCTTTTCTAACGTTTTTGTCTCAGAATCCTGCCCCCATCGTGAGCGCGCACTGGGGCACGGCACGCTATCGCCTGCATTGCTTTCAAACGTTTTGAAAACTTTCCCGCGCTTCCTATCCTGTCTGGGCAGTAAGTTGGCAGCTCTAACGGTTCCAGAACGTTCAAGAGCCTTTATAGGCACAGCACAGAGACAGAGCAAAACGTGCCGTGCACACACGAACAGAGCCCAAAGCAACTGAGATGTGCACACGGCAACCTGTTGAGAAGCATTCTTGTTTTGAGCAAGCATCGGACACTTGGAACTTGGGTGTGCAGTTACGCCTCCCGAGGATGGGAGAAGTTTGGTCAAATGCAGGAGGTGGAAAAACGGAGTCGGTCACGCGTAGCTTCGGTCCCCTGAAGCTCAGTTCATGAAGAGGGATGAGCACACGTGCCGGGTGGCCGTGCCGCACCGCGTGTCGGGCGGCGGCTGCGGGAACGGCTCTGTAGAAGGCCCAGGCCCGCGTTCCGAGCCCCGTGCCGGTGACAGCCGCTCTGCCACACCAGCCTGCTGCGGGGAGCACGAGAAAGCACCGAACCTCCCCTCGGAGCGGCCGAGCAGAGCGCTGAGAGATGCGAGACCAGGGAGCGGGAGCGGGCACCTCTCGGCCGAGTTCTGCTGCGGTCCGTCGCTCCCAAACGGAGAAAAGCCGGCCCCCTTCCCAGCAGCGCAAAGCGGCCCCGCAGCGCCCGGCAGCACCCCCGTCCCGCAACGCTCAGCAGTCATCCCGCCGCCGACTCACCGAGCTGGAGCTGCTCGCACGTCCCGCGGGGATTGCTCTCGATCCGGCAGCGGAAGATGGCCCCAGGGCTGCGCACGGAGCTGTTGGCGGCCCAGCTGGCCTGCGGGGCGCCCGCCACGAGCCTGCGGGCAGAGGGGAGGCGTGAGGCGGCCGCGACGGGGGGCTGGGACCGCGCGGCGGCCCGACCCGTTCGGGACTCACCAGCGCTCCTCGCCGTGGCCCGTCAGGAGAACCGAGTAGCCGAAGAACGTGCCGTTGTCCCCGCGGAAGAGCAGCGGGTGGCGGGTGTCCACGTTGTAGGTCCGCGCCGTCGGCAGACACTGCCACAACAGCAGCAGCGGGGCGGCCCAGCGAGCGGCCCGCCCGCAGCTCCGCATGGCTCCGGCCGGCACCGGGCAGACGGGCGCCCGCCTTCCCGCTCCGCTCGGGGAGAGAGACGGCCCGGCCCCGCCTTGCCCTGCCCCGTGCCCTGCCCCGGGACGGGGCGGCCCGCGCCCCTCACAGCGACCGCTGCCGGCGGGACGAGCGGGGAGCTGCGGCGCGCGCGGCGCTGGGTGCCGTCGGGAGGGGACGGCTCGGCCGCACCGCCTCCTGCCGCGCCGCAGCAGCGCCGTTGTCTCGGGCGCGAGGTCGGGTTTCTCCCCGCCCCGTCCGCGCCCGGAGGTGCCGGAGCGACGCGGTCTGCGGGGCTCCCCGGAGGGGCTCGGCCCGCCGGACCTCGCACCGCGGGGCTGTCAGCCCTCACACCTGCCCGGCGGGCGGCGTGGGTGAGCCGTCTGGGTGCGGTGTGGCGGCGGGTCCGGCAGAGCCCGGCCGTGCCCGAGATTCCCGCCGGCGTTCCTGCCTGCCGCCCTCGACGTGTCCGGGGTTGGCTGGATTCCATCAGCTGGATCCCCTGAGCGCATCTCCCCCGAGTCCCAGCAAGGAAACCCCCAGCCAAGCTGCGGGGGAACTACGTGGTCAGATTTGCATTTTCTAAAAGCAGATTAATCCCAGAATCTGTTCTGTTAGACTCGCTGCACCACACACCAAAGGGGCATTCCTGGCCATCCTTTCATGGCAGGGGATGTCTGAGTCCTGAAACTGAAAAGCAGAGGACAGTCCTGAGCCCCTTCTGCCTTTTTTTGTACGAGACCGCTCCCAGCTGATGACTTCTCTCTTAAGGGGATGAAATCAGAACAACCCTCATCACTTTATTCGCGTTTTAAAATGACTTTCTGCATTCCTGCTCAGTTCTTTCTGTGAGTTGCTTGCAAAGTTATCAGCCAGTCTGGTGGACCGCACAAGAGTGAAAAAAAAAACAGCAAACCCCAGCATTGCACAAGAGGTAGGATGCTTATCAGATAGCAAGATAGTGAGGCTTCCTTGATCTTAGCAAGAAGCTTTGCTGTGTGTGTTTCAATTTAGCTCATGCTGAATTGTTGAAATCAAGGCTGTTACTTCTGCCAGCAAACCTTGCCTCAGAGTCCCTTGAATACCAGAGCTTCCTGTTGCTGCAGCAGCCTGGTAACAGAGTGGAGCCAAAGCAATTTTGAGTTAAAGGAACAAGATCTTAACTCTTCAAAATTTAAAGTTTAGATGCAAAGACTACTACTTGGAGCTGGGAGACAAATCCATTCTCATTTAAACTGCTGAATATTCTACATATTAGAAGTAAGTGTAAAATGGTGAGGTACCATGCTCTAATGGAAATGCAGAACGTGGCATTTTAGGCTGCTTGAAATAAAAAAAGAAACCCTCTCATTCCCATTCAGTTGATGGACGTGCAGAAAACATAATCCTTCTGCTCAATACCGAGCAATTACCAGAATGGGACGCTGAGGCAGTGCAGGATCAATACATCTCATCTTCCTAAGCACATTCAGGTGTGTAGCTCCTGGAACGTGATCAGTGCACTGCAAGGTCTGACAGTCAGTCAACTCTCTATCTTTTTTGTAAGTACTCATCTCTAGAACAATCACAGGGCTTCCCTGGGAAATACTGATGCGGGGCAGTGACTGTTTCGTGTAAAGGAGTTAAACAGCCCCTCAGCTGCTATTCATCTTCCTTCCAACTGCTGACATCAAAGGAGCTACGACAATCAACAGCAGCTGTGAAACTGCATTTCTACCAGGCAAGTTTTCACTGTCATTTTGAAAGCAACAAAACAAGCATGATTCAAATCTGAAATGCTAAATTGTGGTTTAATTGGTGGGAAACCATAACATCATTTCACCACTACTTGACCCCGTAGCCAGTTTTCAGGGGCTTCTAGGCTTTTCTCTGAGAGATCATTACAATTCTTGAGTTCATTTCTTAGTCACGAAAATCACCAAAAAGCTCTATCCCTTGAATGCCAGAAAAGGGAAGAGCAATTTCTCAGCCTCCTTTTCACTGGCAATTGCACGACCTAGGCATATCTGTCCTTTCTGCTCTCTGTCAAGATCAATTTTGTGTCTATCATTTTGCACATAGTTGATGCTGGAACCAACTGAGTGCAGCTAGGCAGTTTCCTTACAGCTGTGTTTCTTGCCATTTGGGGGGAATTGCAGGGGTTGGAAGGGACCACTGAAGATCATCTGGTTCAAACCCCTGCTAAAGCAAGTTTCCTACAGTGGGTTGCACAGGAAAGCATCCATGTGGGTTGTCATTTGAATATTTCCAGAGAAGGAGACTCTGCAATCTCTTTCATGCTACCCCCTTTGTAGGTGGCCTTTTCTTCACAGTTTGCAGTTTGGAGCTTATCAACAAGTGTCATATAGGCAAGGGATAAATGTACACAAGTTGTTTGCAAAATTCAGAGATGAGTTAATCTTTTGAGACTTGTATGTTTGAGAGCCTGGGGAAAAAGAAATGCAGCTGGAATTTATGGTGATTTTGTAGAACCTCCAGTCTGGTGCTCCCTGGACTGCTACAGAGGGTACAGAGCTGGCAGCACAGATGCCAGCTGACAAGAAGAGGTAGATCCTAAAGCTGTGGGCTTCAGCTGTTAGCACATAAATAGCTGCTTGCTTGAAGCAGATGGGAACTGTGTTACACCTTCCTTGTCAGGAAGAAATGCGTCTGTTGCTTTTTGGATTGTATTAGAATGGATGCAGTTGTTATCCATGAGTGAAGTCCAGGAATTACATAAATCTGCTGGAGTATCAGAAATCAATATTCCAAGAAATACCTGAAGTTTTCAGCAGCAATCAGGTGTATGCCAGGAAGGCACAAAATCTCAAAGTAAAACTGACAAAATGGTGTAATAGAGAGAAAACTTGAGTTTTAAGGATTCAGACAACTTTGCAGAAAAGGTAGAATTAACACTGGAAGCTAGGTACCTGTATTTACAGAGAAAATACATATTTATATTTTTTTCACAAATATGGATACTGAAATTATCCTGGAATAATGAAAATAAATAATTCCCAAAATAACCCCTCTAGTATGCAATCTCAACAGCATATCTCCTGCAGTATTCTGTGATTAAACTCTAGAGCAAAATATCATAGTGATTTGCTCTTCTGTTTGTTGCTGCTTCACCATCTAAGGCAATTTCAATGAAGCTCTTGGGATGGCTTGTTACGTGAGAAAGTATATTAGGCCACAGTTTGGCAAATGTGTTTTATAGCAGATGTGTGCACTTCATCTGATTCTCCTCATCTTTTGCTGTTCATTCTTGAATCACGCTGCTGTCTCTGTTACACTTTTATGTATCTGAGCAGTGAACCAGATGAGAAAAGTGATCTGGGTTAAAAATAACTCAGCTAAACCCCCAGATCTAGATCAGCGCATATATTGTGTGACTGCCCAGTTGTATTGGGTGTGTCAGTAGAGTGGTTTAGGCCAGTACCCCAGCTCATGGGGCTCTATCAGTAAGTGACAAGAATCTGAAAAGCTAAAGGCTAAAGTCTATCCATCTAATTCCTTAAAATGGAAGCAGAAATCCATTTCCCCAGCACTGAGTGAGCTGGAGTTCAGATATCTTCGCCCAAATGTTCTTCTGTCTGTGCCCTGAGGTACCCAGCTTAAAAAAGTTATATTGGAGTAAGCCTGATTTATTGATGCCATAAATGTCAGCATACAGTATCAGGTGAGCAAGGTTGCCTAAGTTTGTATTTCAGATCATATGTGCTCCTTCAAGCTTCAGTGTTCCAGATGTAATTACGAACATTGGATATTTCTGGAGAGGTTTGTTGAGGCAGAGTGGGAAGAATGCGAGCATAACCAGAACAGGCCATATCACCTCTGCCATGTATATCAGCAGTTAGATTTAGACAAATGTAAGTACACAGAAGTATGCATGATGTATGCAGATCTGCTGATGTAAAGCAGAACAAATACTCACAAACAGAAGTGTCAATATCTGGAGTCACTGTACATGTACTCGGCAGAGGTAAGATAACAGCAAATACCAAACACCACTGTAAAACTGCCTGGGTGAAGTTAAGCAACTACTGCACAACAGAGTGAAGTTGCTCAGACACTGTGCAGCAGAAATGAGGTTACCATTTGGCAACACTTCTGGCACTCTGCTTCTGGGCTTTTTACCCTGGATGCTGAGGGAGATCTCTGGCATCCTTTTGGAAGGCACATTTGAGAATTCTGTAACCCAGCTGGATGGTATAAAAATACAGCATTCAATAGAAAATATGTTTATTATGTAATCTTAGAAACTCTTCTTTCCCTGGGCTCCCGGGTTCCACAGGCTGTAACAAGTAGACTTTTAACAGATCACCCATTTTCTCTCTCCTCTTCAGCAAGATCCCTTCTAATCTGCAGGTACCAGCCATCTTTCTCTGAGATGATCTGATACTTATTAAAGTCTGCAGTTTTCCTCATCTTGAATTTAATTTTGAAATTTGTTTTCAGTTCTGAAGACCTTGATTCCTGAAAGCCAATCTACTTTTTTCTAGCTGTAATAGTTTGTCTACAAAAAGTAATTTCTCAGCTTTGTAAACCTTGACTTCACAAAGCCCTATGATAATCAGGGCTATACTATGACTATAATAATCTATTAACATAAACTCAAAATAATGATGCAGATTTTTAAAGACAGAGTTGAGTGAAGTGAACTAAGGCACTAATGCTGAAGTCTGTAAAAAGAAAGTACTTTTTAAATAAGAATATGCATTAATAAGAGCTTATCAGAAATCATATGCTAGAGGCAGTGCTTGTGACAAGGTGCTGGGATGTTAACTAATTACCAGCCTTTCTCAGCCACTTGTGTCTCTCCAGAAGATATTATTTAGCACAGCATTAGTCACTGGTATTTCTTCTCTTTCCTCCATCAGGCTTTTATAACTCTAGGATGATTTATTTGGAGTATTTTTTGATAATTGAAAGCTGTTCCACAGAGTAGCTATTGTGGAACATTTTGAAGCCTGAGCCATAGGAAATCAGCAGATAAGACTTTACACAGCCACCACTTGATCAGCCAGGGATCCCACATGTTTTTTGGCTGTGTTCTGAGAACTAAGAAACCTCTGGTAGGAGATTTCTGCAAATATGT